TCTTAATAATTCAGCTACTACCTATATATTAATATCCCTCTAATCTATCTTATCCCTCCCTTTATCTAGAGTTATCTTTCCTTCTTTATATAAGTGGGTTTTTTTTACTTTATATTACTTACTAAGAGTTTTATTTGCCTGCTAAAGAATCTAGATTTTAGACTTTAATAAGGCGTTCTGATATATTATTACTTTTATTTCTTTTAAAAGTAACTTAAGTATCTTAAGAATTAATATTAAAGAGCTACTCTGATATCTTCTTATTTATTTTTTAAGATATTTGGATTATAAGCTAGTCTTAAGTATAGTTTTTAAGGTTTTTAAGACTTAAGAGTTAAAAAGGCTAGCCTCTTTAATAACTAGTATTGGAGTCTATAGCTATATATTAAGCTTTAATATAATATTTTTTAAGCTTAAAGAAATAAGGCCGGCCCCTTAAAAACCTTTTTTAATATTACTTTTTATTATAGTAATATTATAGGCAGTATAAAAGACTGGGAAGAACTTGGTTTTTAAAATATAGATAATAGAATATCTAATTAATTACTTAATTACTTAATTATAGGCCTATTTAAGAGGCTTAAAGTACCTAATATTAAGAGGCTAAAGTAAATAAGATAAATAAGGCAGTATATAAAATATAATAATATAATTTTCTTTATAATATTTCTTAAAGTTAATGGAATAGTGATTTTTATATCTATTAAGAATTAGAAGATAATAGCAATTAGTTAATTAATTCTTTATATACTAGTTAAAGTACTTAAGCTATTTAAGATCTATCTTATTATTAGTCCAGCTATTTTAAGTTATTATAATAGCCTAATTACCTAGAAGGTTACTTTCTTAATACCAGCTAGTAAGGTAATATTAGCCTATAACTATAATAAATAGCTAGATTACCTAGCTTTTTATATTAATTACCTAAATAACTATAATCTATTCTTAATTTCCAGGCTATACTAATTTTAAATTTTTATGCCTTTCTATATCTATAATAACTATTTTACTTATAATAAGGCCTATTATAAAGCCAGTCTTATTAAAGTTATAAATATTAACTAGATTAATATTATATTTTATAATTATATTCTTTATAAGCTGAAATTAATTATAAATAATAATTAGATCTTTATATTTAGCCCTCTAATAGTTATATTTATAAAAAAAATATATCTTAAGCTTTAGTTATTACCTAATAAAGTTAGAAGCCTAATACTTACTAATAGGTAATATATTACAGTTAGCAAGCAGTTAATTAGCTATTTCTTTAATATTATATAATTATAGGGAAATCCTTATAAATCTAAATTAAGAATAAATTAAATAATAATTTATTCTTCTAGATTGGTTAGTTAATATAAGTTAGAAATAGTATTGTATCGAGATTAAATATTATACTATTAGTAATATAAGATATAGTAGTAAACTTTATAAATCTCTATAATATATTAGATACTTAATTTTAAGTTATTTTAAATAGCTTAAAGAGTAAGAAGAATTCTAGTCTTATCTTAAATCTATAGTATACTAGATAATTAGGAATTAATTAATTATATTAAGAAGATATAGATTTTAGGATTTTTATAATACTTACTTATCTATAATACTTACTTATTATATATATTATATATAATAAGTAAGTATAATAAATAAGTAAGTATAATATACTTAATAAGTAAGTACTATAAATAAATAAGTGCTATACTTTTCTATTCTATACCTAACTTTCTACTTTATTAAGTAAATCTTAATAACTTAATATACCTTAGTAAGATAATAAAGCTAAAATTCTTCTTACTCTTTAAGCTCTTTAAAATAACCTAAAATTAAGTATCTAATATATTATATCAATATATAAAATAAATAAGTAAAGATTATATTACTAATAGAAGGGTATTTAATATCAATATAATACTATTTCCAATTTATATTAACTAACCAATCTAGAGGAATAAATTATTATTTAATTTATCCTCAACCTGGATTTATAAGAATTTCCCCTATAACTATATAGTATTAAAAAATAGCTAATTAACTACTTACTAACTACAATATATTACCTATTAGTAAGTACTAGGCTTCTAACTTTATTAAGTAATAACTAAAGCTTAAAATGCATTTTTTTTATAAATATAATTATTAAAGAGCTAAATATAAAGATCTAATTATTATTTGCAATTAATTCCAGCTTATAGAGAATATAATTGCAAAATATAATATTAATCTAGCTAATATTTATAACTTTAATAAGATTGGCTTTATAATAGGTATAATTATAAGTAGAATAGTTATTATAGATATAGAAAGATATAAAAACTTAAAATTAATATAGCCTAAAAACTAAAAATAAATTATAATTATCCAGGTAATTAATATAAAAAGCTAAGCAATCTAGCTATTTATTATAATTATAGGCTAATATTATCTTACTAATTAATACTAAGAAAGTAATCTCCCAGGTAATTAAGCTATTATAATAACTTAAAATAGCTAGATTAATAATAAAATAGATTTTAAGTAGCTTAAGTATTTTAATTAATATATAAAGAATTAATTAATTAGTTACTATTATTTTTTAATTCTTAATAGATATAAAAATTACTATTTTATTAATTTTAAGAAATATTATAAGAAGAATTAAATTATTATATTTTATATACTATCTTATTTATCTTATTTACTTTAGCCTCTTAATATTAAATACTTTAAGCTACTTAAAATAGCTTATAATTAAGTAATTAAGCAATTAATTAAATACTCTATAACTTATATTTTAAAAATTAAGTTCTTCCTAGCCTTTTATACTACTTATATAACTATTATAATAAGAAGTAATATTAAAGAAGATTTTTAAGAGACTAAACTTATTCTCTTAAATTCAAAAAATATTATATTAAAGCTTAATATATAGCTACAAATTTTAATACTAGCTATAAAAAAGATTAATCTCTCTAATTTTTAAGTCTTAAAAATTCTAAAAATAGTACTTAAAACTAATTTACAGTTTAAATACCTTAAAAAATAAATAAGAAGATATTAAAATAGCTCTCTAATATTAATTCTTAAAGCACTTAAGTTATTTACTAAGAGAATAAAAATAATAATATATTAAATAGTATTATTAAAGTCTAAGGTCCAGATCCTTTAATAAGTAAATAAGACTCTTAGCAAGCAGCACAGAGCAAAAAGAACCCGCCTACATAAAGGAGGGAAGATAACTTTAGATAAGGGAAGGGATGAGATAGATCAGAGAGATATTAATATGCAGGTAGTAGCTGAATCGTCGAGAAGTAGTGGTTGAAGGAGGTCGGCGCTGCTAAGGGAAAGGTACTATAGAATATATAGAAAGGCTGGTTATAATATAAGGACCTGTTAAATTATAATTGAGACCTCTGAGGAAGAGTATAGTAATTAATTTTAATTTATTTGATATTTTATTACAATTTTATTAAGGTTTTAATTTTAAGGGTAAGGAAAAGTGTAGTACTTACTTATCTATAATACTTGCTTATTAAGTATGTTAATAAATAAGTAAGTATAATAAATAAGTAAGTATAATAAATAAGTAAGTATAATAAATAAGTAAGTATAATATCTATATTATATACTTAAAAAGCTAAACTTTAAATTCTTTAAAATTAGCTATATAACTAATTAAGATTTAAAAAGTGTAATTTAAGTATTAAATTAAAAAAGTTATAAGTTATTATTTTCTTTAGATTTTTAAAAAATCTTTATAACTTTTAAAAAATAAAAAACTTAATAAAAATAGTATAAATAAAGCTTTTTTTAATAATCTTATAAAGAATTTTTTTAAAAGTTTATAAAATTATTTAATAAATCTTTACTTAATAATTAAAATTATATAATATTTTTAATTAGCTTACTTTTTTTTAAATTTTAGAGAATTATTTTTACTTATAATATAAATACTAGGAAATTTTAAGTATTATACTTACTTATCTATTATATTTACTTATTATATATATTATCTAACTATTAATTATTAGATAGCTTATATAACTAATTAATAACTTTAAATATATATATATATATTGTATATATATTAAGTATAGCTTCCGCCCCTTAAGGTTAAGAGGGTCTAGGTTCCCCTTGCTTTCTAATACAGCCTAGCTAGCCGAGAGCTCAGCAAGCCCTGCTTAAATCAGCCCCGAAGGGGGCCCTTATTCCTCACGTAACATCCTGGAGCCCTGGTATTCCATGCCTCCAATTCAACACCTATAGTGCAGTAATGTGCCCAGATGATCGCTATCACAGCAATTATTAACCAATCTTTTGCCCCCTGGTACAGCGGTCTAGCACAACCGTTATATATCCCCTAGAAATACTATAAAAATCTCTGTATTTTACCCTTCTGCATACAATAAAAAAAAGAAAAAGAGAAGTAAAAATAAGAGTAAGACAGAGAGTATATAAAGTTTAATCTACTTAAGGTAACTATCTACTTTATGGAGTATATATTGCAGCAGTTAATTTATTAAGGAATTTATATGTACATTCTAAATCCCTTTTTTTTATGCTAAGTCCCCACTGCACTACTCTCTCCACCCTCTCAACCTAGACCGGCTGCGGATCACATTAAACAACTACGCGCATCTCTGCTGTTCTATAGACATGCTTGGCTCCGCCCTCAATCTAGAGCCTGAAAATGGAGGCTAGACACTAGCACCACCTGTGTCTAGGGATAAAGGAAGAAAACGAGTCTAAGCCATCATATGATACTCCATCCGGTCGCGTTTGTTTAGGTAAGGTATGATGGTTTAGCTTCCAAACTGCCGAAGGCATACAGCACTCGGGAAACCTCCTAGTGTTGGCTCGGCAGCGTACTACTATATACGGACTCACTCCCACCTAGTCCCTGCAACAATCTCGCCCGAGCCCCCAACTCCCTACCCCCAGGCTTCCTATTGCAGAAAACACCAGCAATGTCTGCGATTGCTCACGTAGCGCCCAACTAGCAATGCATTCCGCAACTACTAGCGAGCGAGTGTCTCATTTCCATGTCCGATCCTCCCATAACCAGCATAGGTGGGGTACGTTGTATAGTTCCATGGAATGGCGTCACGTAGCAAGACGGAATCGAGGGCAGCGGCGCCCCCGCTTACATACATAACCCTCGTCATGGCGGACTTCGAGTAATAGCTGAAGCTAACGTTGGGCGGAATGAAGGCAGAATCTCCTGAATGAATCGTCAAAGACTCATACTGATGTATGTCTAAGGTGAGCTGCCCTTCTCGGACAAGGAGGGATGTCGGCGCATTAAGATTGTAGACCGGAACCGTTTCGTTGGGAAATCTTGGGGACAGAATGAGCGTGCCCATAGTCATATTGCCGTCTGTTTGGACCGGTGTAGCTAGTGGCTGGATGATCTGATAACAGCCTTCCTCTGTGTTGAGGTACTTTTCCGACCAGTCTTTGGCGACAAAAGCTGCGCTGCTCGAGTCCTTGGCCAGAGCATTGTTTCCGTTATGCTAGTTATATCCGGGGGGCCCAAACATGCCGTTGACAGTGGGTACAGTTGGGCTGTATTCGGGCCGAAAATAGACGTCGTAGACTTCGAGCTCGCTCAGAATATCCGGGTCGTTGCCTGCCCCAGGAGGATTGAGATTTTCCTCAGGAACAAACGAAGCACGGGTCGAGGTGGAGAAGACACTGTCGGAAAGAGCAAAGAAGAGTCTCTCGAAACCGCCAGGTTGGACAATGAAAGTGAGTTCTGTCTCGGGTTCGAGGAACTGAAAGGTATGAAGGGTATCATGGGGGATGACGGCATAGTCACCGTCGGTCATGACCCTCGAGAATTCCTGGCCGCCTGTCTCGTTCTGCCAAGCCCACATCTGGACTCGGCCTTTCTGAACGAAAAAGTTCTCGTAGGTTTGACGATGGATGTGAGGAAGAACGGCCAGGATGCTTGACTGGGGAGCCGACTGGGTGATCATTGCAAAGCTCTGCTCTGAGATATTGCCGGTCACTTGGTATCGTAGAATACCCTGACCCAAGGCTACAGTCAAACCGGTGTTCCTAAGGAGAACATAAGGTCGAGGCTCGTTCGGTGCTTCGTCGACGATAAGCGAGCTACTTGACAATGAATCAGCCGCTGCATGATTGGGAATACTGCAGAGAGCCGTGATTTGGAGGAAGTTAGCCAACCACATGTTGAAAGGATAAGTTTGGCAAGAAACAATGATACCATATGGTGATGACTAGAGAGTAACAATAAAAAGACTTACAGCACCGCTTCATGGCCAATTTATAGCCGTAGCCGTATTAAATGCCAAGCAGCAGTTCATGCTTTCGTAATTCATCCCTCATCCCTCATCCCTCATCCCTCATCCCTCATCCCACATCCCACATCCCACATCACCTAAGCAGCGTTGCAATGTGGACCGGCAACTCGGGCGGGCGATGCTCAAAATGATGTTACATTCCTAATGCGATATGATCACGCATAAGGAGGTGTAGGTTACTAATTTCAGACGGATCTACGCAGACTGGTGGACTGAAGTTTCGGGGTCGCGGAATCGCCTGACTCCGCACTCGGCATTCTAGCTCACGCTCGAATATCTGAAATACCAAGGTGCATAATCGAATCGAATGACACAACAAATTGGGTATGGGTTTCAGGTTCTAATTCGAAATACATTGACGTCTACAAGACTGCCTGAAATACACTGCTGCCCAACTGCTGATGCAAGTCGGAAGTGGGTCGCGCCATTGGTTATGGTCCTCTCCCACATGGTCTGCGATCCATCCCACATCGTGCGAGAAAGAACAATTGACCGCCATTAGAGCTGATTCGATAGTGGGAGACCGTAAATACGAAACACTGAGACGCCAGGACGTTTATTAATCATTTTAGCTTCTAATTGTGTCCACCGTCACATTGCATTAGTGGGCATTTCCAAGAAAAGAAATAGCTGTGACTAACATTATTCCCCTTTTTGGGTTAGGGGTGAGGGGGTTGTTCTACCCACAGGTCTTCAAATATGCTTTCACAAATACGCAACACAAACACCGCTGGTATCCATAACGAAGCTGATCTGCGGGCCTATACTAGCTTGCTATAAGAAGCAACTCTTCCTCTTAAAGACAAATCTGCAGCTACACATGCCCCTGGGCCATCGGTGATAACACATTGCTAGGAGTGGAAGAATTTTCCAACGAAAAGGTCAAAGAAACTATGAGACGAATGGCCGCTGATTGAGGTACCGAGCAGTATCGTGGTCGTACCTAGGTTGACCCGCACACCTGGTGTCGTGGTACGGCGGGACCACCAGATACGCTCTCATCAGCCGGGCTGATGCGACACCTTAAGAACGAGCCTATTAGGATTGGGCTTGGTAGCTTAGTAGTTAACCCGCTGCAAGCAAAACAGATGTATCAAAAGTGGCAGACTCGAAGCTATTGCTTGGGAAGCCCGAATTGGCGTTAGCGTGTACCGACTAAATATTTGTTCATGCTGCTGCGTAATCTCACACTTTGCGCCGCTGGCGTTTGTATTGTCATTGTTCCCTGAGATTAAGCCAATATCTGCTTGGGAGGTTTGGGAAATTGGACAGAGGAAAAAGTCTTTGGATAGGAAGGGTCTGAAGGTGCAATAGGATGTCCCCTTATAACATGCTTATGCCATTGATTCTTCATGTCTATCAATAACAATATGCTTTTTATGCATGAACAAAAAAGGTTGCGCTCTTTTCAGCACTGCTGCATATTTTTCGTCAGATTTCTGAGAAATAAAGCACCCCAGAATCATGCCTGTTGTGAAGTCCCACGCAAGTAGAGGACCAAGTTCGCTGTAGAGGAGGGAGGCCGAAACATTGCTCTTCGATAGATCGCTGACTAACACCTGTTGATCACTGGATTGGGTTGTTGGGTTGGTACATGCATTCCATGCCGCCAGCGGCGAGGGAGCCCGAACTCTCAGCTTGGAAGGGTGAAGGTACTCGAAGGGTTTGAACATTGCAAAGTGCTCTGTCAAAGTGCTGTTGATGTGAATAAATGTTTTGAAGTGTACGAGCACAAGTCTAGAGTTCAAATTCTGTTAAGGGCTTGACTGGCAAACCATGTTTCTTGGGTCCTCACCTCCGATATTGCTCTTCAACGATTGGGTGGAGATCTGCACCATCAAGAGTAGCTTGGTCGTAGATCCCAGCATTCTCCAAAGCCAGAAAAAGATTTTTTATGTAGATAATGGACAGTGGAATCGTCTTGGGGCCTATGTAAGTACACAGGATCAATGGGATCAAGAGAGCCTGAAGCAGAGCGAGATTTCTAGGCCCAAGTTCTCTGGGAATTTTCTTGAATATTTGCAAGGGCATGCTCTACAGATGTGTTAGCGTTCTGGCAAATCTTGTGGACTGAAGCGGTTTGTGAGGCGAAGATTACCAACTCGTGACCTAGACACCTCAAAAGGCTCTCATGCTGCTTCCGTGCCTCTTCCTGGTGTGTGCCCGCCATCCAGAGACCAGCGACCAGAACACACCGTGTCAGATCTGGGGACTGAGGTGTGTTTCGATATGTCTGTTGATGCAAGATCGGCCAGTGAGGGTGAAAGTACTGGAAATAGACATCCTCTACGGCGCTTCGATGGATTGTGTCGCAGAAGAGAGCGTTTGTCGATGATATCGGCGGCCAGATGCCTTCCTCTGGCGAGAACAGAGAAGACTCACGCTCCGCTTCAACTTGGGTATCAAGGATGTCTGCATTTTCCACTCGTTGATTGTTCAAGTCTTCGGAAGTCCCGGAGCGGGTTGAAGGATGTGTCAGAGATATGTGACGGTTGAGGATGTCACTTTCTTATTTATTAATAACGACCTGTCGGCGTACGCTTTCCACACACACCTCCTATTGAATGATGCGGTACAATGATCGCATGTGAATTCGCGAAGGTTGCTGTGATCTCTCTGATGTCGGGAGAGGTGCTCCTTTCTGACATAGCAGCGACAACAACCAGGGTACGGGCATTGAAAGCTCATATTGACATTGAATCAATTCAAGTGTATAATATTCAAGCAATAAAGCGAGATCGCTGGTGAGTTGATTTCGTCAATGTGAGCTGAGACAACGTTGGCGTTGACTTGAGTATATCCTGCGGAGCGGGGAACGGGGAATGAGGAACGAGGAACGAAAGATTCTTATTAGTGGACGCGCTTGGGGGAAAGCGGGATAGGCTTTTGAACGTGCTGGAATTCACGTGACTATCGGAATGCCGGAATGAAATGCCCCGAGAGACCCACCAATGTATAGATATTGTTTGATCCGTTACGGTCAATTTGATCAAATGGATAGTGTTCACAGCAGTGATGATGATGTTGATGATTGCTTCGACCGGTCATCCGGATCGTCCGGAAGAGGGGCTATCAGACCCCCCCCCACCTTTCTGACTAGGTCTGGATATCAATCATAAGAGGTTTCGTAATATAGGGTCATCTTCCAACAGGTATTGTCACAAAAAGACGAACGTCCCTAGTGGGACCGCATATCCCCCCTTATATCCTTTGCAACAGGTATTATATCACATCCTACATCATACCTGAACCATGATTTTACGCTTTCGCGGCTTCCTTCGACACCTCTCCATTTACGCCTCGCCGACACAGTCCTGCTTCTCTGCAGTCCTGATCGTCTCCTCGCTCAGCTGTTCTAGCTTTCGTTCGGCCTTAGCTATCTCCTGCTAGGCAGGAACGTTAGCGAGGACGCTGCCCGGAAGAAAGCTAGTGATGTTAGGCGGTAGGGAGATAACAGGCACAGCTATAAATAGCTTGTGCTTGCTGCAATAGATAGAAAGAAGAATAACACTTGTTCTCCAAGCTCAGAAGCTTCAACTGCTTCAGACTCTGGTGAGTATTCTGGTTGACGATTACGGGCATACCGGGTACGAACATGAAGATACCGCCGCACACGCAATTCATCGACGAATTACAAGTCCTGTGAAGGCGACCATCCAGTCTTCTAGTCAACGGGTTGGCTTCGACATGTGGCAGAGGCCGACTCTACCGTACAACCCAGATTCCTTTCTCTTTCACACCATTTCTGTCACCTAAAATTGGTAGGATATACGTGTCGACGAACACAGTGCAGAATTAGAATTGGAATAGCAGAATGTCGCATGGGTAAGCGTACGAAAAGGTCTCTGTCGATTGAGGCTCAATCATGCTTCGCGTTCTCATGATGCATCTCTACCATCAGGACATGCTCCAATCCTCCACGAGAGCATGCTCCACAAAACACCGAACTGCGTTCAAGGCCCGCGTGATGTGCTCATCACGATGCGTCATGTTCAGAGCTAGAACACCTTTCCTTCCGATGAATATGCCCTCTTTGAGCATGAAAAAGAAGAATGCGTCGGAGAGCTCCAGCGCCGAGGATCCGCCAAATTGTATACCGACCAAGCTTCCAAGGCCAGTGGCAGTAACAAATGCCGGTGTTGCCAAGCGCCCGAATTGGTTGATGCCGTCACGGAGTCTATCACCAAGCGTGTTGGTAGAGGCAATGATGTCTTCTGTGAGGACTTCACAGCAAGTGACCCCAGCACGAATGCTCAGCGTGCTATTGTTGGACCTGCCTGAGCGCAGATGCCCACTAGCGTGAGGCTCCAGGAGATTCATGATGGTGGCGCTACCGCCGAAGAGACCGAGGGACAGACCTCCCAAACAGCTCCCTAGCAGTGTCATGTCAGGTTTGATACCATGGTAGCCCTGCATGCCGCCGTAATGCAACCTTGAGGTGACTCCTTCATCAAAGATCAGGTTAGCGTTGGTGCCATCAGCAGCATCACGGAGGAACTGCGGGAATTCGCAGCTAGCTGGCAGAACGCCTGCTCCCACCTGGACTGGCTCGACAATGATAACTGCCAAAGTGTCGTCGATCATCGCCCGAGTGTGCTCGATGTCGTTGTATCGTCCAATCGCGAAATCAAAAGGCGTTGGAATATCGCTGAATTCATGATGGCCATCGTGGCAGACCTGTGTAAAGGCAATGACCTGAGAAGAAAGAAGACTAAATCAGAAGATGAGGCTAAGCGGGCGTTGGATTTGTATTCGTACCTTCGCCTTCTTTGTGTAGCTACAGGCCAGAGTCAAAGCCTTGGTGCGGGCTTGCGCCTCAGATGCGCAGAAATGAATTCCTTCAAGGCTTGGCATACGTGATTTCAGTAAAGCACCTAGTTTGGCTTCTTCCATGTCCGGCCCTCCCAGGTTGATGTCGCACGCCACTGCGGCTTCGATTGTCTTGGTGATTTCGGGATGCGAATGGCCGAGAATACTGGTGGAGTACTCAGCGGCAAAATCAAGGTACTCGCGCGAATCCAAAGATGTTATGTAACAGCCGTTGCTAGATTTGAACACCATTGAGAATGGACCATATTTCAACCCAGAAGACGGGTTGGAGCTGGGAAGGTGGGTGACTGCTTCTTCGAAAGCCTTTTTTGACATGGGATTGTTCACAACGTAGTAATTCGTAAGTCGAGCCAATAGATCATTTGCAATAGCACCCAACTGCGTGTTAGACTTGGTAACAACGGAGACTTTTCGGTGTGTTGCTTCGACGTAAAATGCCGATAGATTCCTCGACCACACCAAGATTGAAGACGCCCCTTTAGGAAACCACAACATGTCTCCTTTGTTGGCGACAACCGTCTTCCCCGTTGTGATGTCTTTCCAGAGTGATTCTCCTATCAGGATATCAGCACTACAGGGCCCTTAAAAGTACAAGATACAAATGGCGGAGGACTATACCTTCAGTTACGAACTTGACCTCGTCAACTTCGGCGTCAAATACCTCTTCGCCGTCTGTTATGTCGTCTGATGTCCATATACCGCACACTATTTGGTGGGTCTTTGGGTCACTATAAAATAGCCCATCTTTAGCGACATGAGGCTCTCGTAATTAAACGGTTTCACTACGCCCTGGCAAAAAGCTTACCTGGAACACGCGAGGTCTGTGAATTGACCAGGTCCATACTTCATCAGCCGTGGGACCGACTCGACGCCGCTTGTCACAGCCAGAGAGGGACGTCCCGCGGACATTCTTGGAAGATTGTGGATTTTTGGCTGTGCTCTGGCTGTGGTAAATCCAGTAATGTAGAGACTATGTTGTGATATGTGAACGTCCCCGAGGGCTATTGTTTAAATGATTGTGATGTCTACAGTTGCGGCCGGCCATTATTTTAAATGGATACCTCATCCCCTTTTCTCCACTACTAGAATTCTCCGCCGGCACATTACATGTGTAGTAGTAAGAGAATTACACAATGCGCGCGCGACCCCTACACTCTTGGACCGCTATGCCGCCGGGAATTTTCCCCTCCGTATATGGTATATGAGGAATGAAGCGAGAGACCTCAAGCCGGAATTTCTTTCGACGAAAAACCAATCCAAACCCAGTTCATATCAAACGCCACCCAGCGAGCGTCTACCTACTCTACATATTCCTATCGGCATATTTGAACCTACTAACAACGATGTCTCTGAGCACGACTACAGACCAGCAAACTGAGGGACCTCCCCGGTGGAAAATCATTGCGTCCCGCAAACAAGCTGAACGACGCAAGGCTCTCGACTCAGCAGCCATGATGTCACTGGGCAAGTCCATACCGCTACTGCCCCCGTCCTCTGCCAAGGATGTGCGGAATTGGCTCATCACAAGCGGCGACTCGACGACGCAGCAAATTGCCATCACGGAGTCCCTTCCCAGCAATATCTTGAAGAAGCTGGCCGTTGGAGATTGGACCGCTGGAGAGGTACTACTGGCCTTTGTAGCTCGCGCTGCCATAACTCAACACCTCACTAACCCACTGACGGACATCTTTGTGGAAGCAGGTCTGGCCAAAGCGCGCGAACTTAACGAGCATCTGAAAAAAGCCGGTAGACCTGTTGGACCACTCCATGGGCTACCAATAAGTCTGAAGGATGTCATGAATGTCAAAGGACACGCTACAACTTACGGCTTCGTGGCTTTAGCGGAGGAGCTGATGGAGGACTCGGATGACATTGTCACCCAGATGGCCAATGCCGGGGCTGTCTTCTATTGCAAGACCAACGTGCACCAGACACTGATGTCGGGTGAATGTATTAACTTTCTTTATGGCACCACATCCACCCCAGATAACAGAGGGCTGTCTGCTGGCGGATGAAGTGGTGGCGAAGGCTCCCTGGTCGCCCTGGGAGGCAGCCCTATTGGTATTGGTACGGACATCGGAGGGCCGATTCGCACTCCTGCCAACTTCAACGGCGTATACGGCATTTGCCCATCCCAGGGACGACTTCCTCTCCACTCAGTGAAGCTCACCAACCCAACATATCTAATTGCCGGCGTTGCCGGCCCAATATCGAGGTCTATTGATGGACTGGAGGTCTACGTTAAATCGCTACTTGCCCTTCAGCCTTGGCAATAGGACTTCTCTTGGGTCAAGCTGCCTTGGAACCAAATGGTTTACAGCGATACGAGAGCCAGAGGAGCTGCACGTCAACTCACTTTTGGATTTACTGCCCACGACGGCGTCGTGCGGCCTCATCCACCGACCGAGCGTGGTATGAATGAAGTCAAAGACGCCTTGAGGCGCGACGGCTTCGAGGTGCTAGATGTCGACTTTTTCGACGGCACCGAAGGCCTCATGGAGACGGCAATCAAAACGTTCAGCTGTACCGGAGGCCAGCCCACCCGAGAGCTTCTTGAACGACTGCCCGAGCCACTCATCAAAGAGGTGTTGTTGGGCTCTCAAGAGGACGCATTGAGTGCACGAGAGCTACTCAACGTCGGAAAAGAAGTGTACAATCTACGTCAGAGCTTCCTAGAGAAGTGGAACAACACAAAGTACCTCACGGCGAGTGGACAGCCGGTGGACGTTTTCATCCTTCCTTCTGGCGGCCACGTGGCCCCTCCTCATAGTACGATGGAATATCTGCTCTACGAGGCCATTTCAAACATTCTTGACTGGACTTGCGCCACGATTCCTGTTGACCGAGTAGACCCTGCCCTTGATCCCAAGCCAGGTGGTCATCTGGGGGTTCATCGCGACTCTTCGCATGGAAAAGTTCCAATGGGTTTTTTTGGGTACAGGTAAGTCTTTTTACCTTCACTCGATCCCGCCAGCACTGGATCGCTCATGGAAGTTGCAGCCGCGGTCATGGCCGTCACCATCATCATCTACATCATCGCCATCCCAATCACGCATTCGCAGCAGGACCGGCCATTCGCATCCGGCGCCCAAGTTTTCGGCAAATACAATAATCACTCACTCTACGTCAATGCCGTTGCGGTTCCAATGTCCTTTTTCTGTGCTGTTTGGGCCATTACTGGATGGCAAGCCCCGGCCTTTGTCGCCGAGGAAACACACAACGCCTCCCGAACTGCGCCTAAAGCCGTCATCACCTCCTACCTTACCATTTCTACGGGCGGTCTTGTTGTTTCTCTTATTACAGCTTTCTGCATTCCTGACATTACTGTTGCTGCTGATGATCCGGGGTATGTCAATATTCCCGTCCCAGTGACGTCCTGAGCCATTTACTGACTGTAGCCAGCGGCTTTGCCATGTACACTCTCATCGTTGATCATTGGGGCACCCACCTGGGTTGTGCATTCCTCATGGTTCTAACAACGGCTGGATGCATGGGTGGCCCGTCTCTGTTGCTGACATCGGCTAGCCAAGTTGCCGCTTTCGCCAGGGACGGTGGCCTCCCTTTTCCTCACGTCTTCGCTCACGTCCACCAACCAACAAACATGCCTATCGCCGCAACAGGGCTCCTTGTCACAGGCGCACTCTTGATTCTCCTGTTCGCTCTGTCTGATATGGCTCGCACTATCATTTTCTCCCTAGCAGTCATTGCTTATTTGTTGACATCCGCTGCCCCCATCTTTTTGCGCCTTGTTTACAGGCACCGCTTCGTCCCTGGCCCTGTATACTACGGCAAGTTCAGTATGCCAATCCATGCATGGGCACTTCTCTCAGTCTGCTATTTTGTCATCATGGAGTGCTTCCCAGCCTCTCCGAACTGGACGGCCAGCACCTTCAATTACAACTGGGTTATTACCATCGGTATTCTCAGCCTTGCAGTTGTCTTGTGGCCGACGGTGCGAAAGAATTATAGGTCTTTCGAGCTTCAAGCTATTGATGGAGAGTTATACGATGTAGCCAATGCACAGACGGAAACATCTGTGTACAAGCATGCGTCGCATTGAGCGCTGCCCACTTTCAGCCCGACCAAGGAAGGTTCTGGAGCGATTGCCACGTCTGGCTCGGATTGATTCAACGGAATTCTGGGATATTCTGTCAAATTTATGTGTTTGTTTTTCTTATTGAAAGGGCTCTTGAGGCAACATAATTTGGTGGCAAGAAGAGCTCGCCTTACTGGCCTTTCATGCTGAGAGGCTGAGCCTGTATAATATGATCCATCTTGCTTATCTTGTTGCAGAGAATTGGAAGATGGGCATTTGGCCGCAAATTGGACCACTATTAACTCCAGCGATGCCAAAACGAGAACAAGTTTAAGCATGTCACGTCCCGCACCTTCCAGGATCATAGCGGGCAACTCCAACCTGATGTCTTGGACCACACTGGCATCCTGGGGAGCTATGACTAAGGATGTGGTCACATCTCTCCATATTTTCTTTATTTTTAGCAGACCTGGTTGACAGGCAATAGCTGCCAGAAGACTGAGATTTGCCCACGTTATGATAAGCTGTTATATCAGCTACCCTACAGAGGCTGTGGGTGGGGTGTGGTTGTTTTAGTCCATAAGGCAAGTTCCTCTTTGTTAATGACCTCTTCCTCGCTCGCTGTTCTACAGCCTGACAAATTGCACCGTTTCTGACCATACCTTATCATTAAGGGCCGGATCAAGACGGGTATCCAGGTTAGAACTGGGGGATTTCTCCTATCATGCCAAACAGCTCAGATTCCCCTAGATCCTATTTACGAGAGCGAGCAGGGCGCTATTTTCGATTCCCAGCAGAAACGCCTCGCCTCGCGACGGGTGAGCAGTGGCCAGAACAACGTTCCGAACCATCCGAGAGAATGCTGGCTATGGGGAGCGGGTTGTGACGCGGCCGGCGGGATTGAGCACGTGCGATGGTGAAGCCGGTCACATGGGCGACAATGCATTGCCCTTGAAACAGACTCTTCCCGCCGGTGAGAATTCCGACAGATTGGCGTCAGATGTGCCGATGGTGGAGTTGAACTTCTACTCTCCATACCTTAAAACTCCGGGAAAGGTGCTTTGAAAGAAGACTGGAATCTATTTGTCGCCAAAACCTATGCGAGTAAGTCTTTTTCTCAATGTCGTCAATGGACGTAGATCAATATTTCCATGGTGTAGCCTGTCTTTAATGTCACATGTGTTTCGTTCTACTTCCTGGACACTTGGTCCTCGACACTCGGGATTGTTGTCGGAAAACCCTAGACGTGGGGTCCCCACATCTACTGGGGTATATGGTGGGGGAAAGGGCTCGCAGTGTGGAAAGTAGCTTGACGCTGTTTCTCGGCTGTGACGTATGTCGGTGGTATGCCTTTTTCAGTTAGATGCCCCCAGTCCTTCCTGATAGTCTGCGTCGGAGAACCTGTCGGCTATGTTGGGCGGCCGGTGCATATGAGTTGGCCCACTTCTGCTGGAGCTAGGACACGGCCAAAACCAGCTGGTGGTAGAACGAGAATGTATTCGTGATGATGCCTGGCGCATTACGGCAACATGGTTGCACATCCAACCATACAGCGTCGGGGTTAATGATTTCCAGATTACGCGGAAGTCGACATTTCCCCGCGCCAGTCCTGAACCCTTCATCGGTGACGGCGATACCTCATGGTAGTATGTGTCTATCTCGATGATGGCCTTCTGTCTACGCTTGCCAGTAATAAGCAGAATTTCCTAGTTTGGGGATCAATGTCTCCAGCTTACCGAAACGTAAACAGACACTATTCCCCAGGCTAGTCAGCTTTCGCCCAGATCTTGCGACACTGAAATACTTCAGCACCAACCGAAAGTCTCTCGGAACAATGATTTAGCCCCCTGCAAAATTTGCATTTGGTAACGCCCCGTACCCTATACGAGCGATGTGACATTTCCCTAATGTGTCCCTCGGTCACAAGAACAGTCTCCTCATCTCCCGCACCCACGTATATGAGCTTGTGCAAGATCCTGGTGAGTCGCCGATGAAGGCCCGAGACTGAGTCGAACGACGGTGAACGACGGTGACATGTACGGTTTGGTACGGAGAAAGACATGCACGCCGCCTTCCTTTATCCCGAGCCCCGGGATAACCGTCATCAGCGCCGTTGCCACCACCAGATCATCCTCCCCCTATCTTGACTGTGCAGTCACACGGCCTAACAGGACATCCCAGCGCATGCTGGCTTTTCCTATATAAGTAGACCTTGCCCCAGCAGGTCGCAAGGCACCCTGCCTTTGAACAGACAAAAAAGCCAATCGCCCATTATGACTGTCCCAAACATCTTCTTAAAATTCTTACTGGCATCTCGCGTGGCAAGTGCTTACTTCTCCCAGGCCAATGCCAGATCTGAGAATACCTTCACATGGGTTCTGTCAGAGAACTCAGTCATTCTTGGGCAGTACAACCACTCTGAGGCCGTCTATCCTTAACGTCCGTCAATTCCTCACTTTAGAGATTGTAGGCTCAGAAACTGACTACCAGAAGCCCACATCACGGGCGCGGGAGGCTGGGAAGATGCACTTGATAAAGCTCGAGAATTCGTCGCCGAGCTTACTCTCAAGGAGAAGGCCGACATGGTCACTGGTCAACTTGGCCCTTGCAACGGGAATATCTACCCGATCCCTCGCCTCAACTTTGGCGGTCTTTGTCTACAAGATGGACCTGCCTCTCTCCGATCTGCGGACTACGTTAGTGTTTTCCCCTCGGGTGTGACGATAGCGTCCTCGTGGGATAAAGAAATGATGTATGAGAGATCCCTTGCAATGGGCCGTGAGTTCAAAGCCAAGGGCGCTCACATTGCTCTGGCGTAAGTGTCAACTCCATGCATATGACGGCAACTATTGACGATTACGGACAGTCCGGTCGGCGGGCCTATGGGTCGCTCACCCTACTCGGGTCGCAACTGGGAGGGCTTCTCTCCTGATCCATATCTCAACGGTATCGCCATGGAGAGGTCGGTAATGGGCCTTCAGGACGGGGGTGTTCAAGCGACTGCGAAACACTGGATCTTGAACGAACAGGAGATGCTTAGAAACCCAGTCTACTATGCTAATGGCACGCTCCAGCATGAGGCCATTTCCTCGAATGCTGACGACAGGACGGTCCGTAAGTCACTATCACCACCAAAGCATTCGTGTCAAGCGATTGACTGACTGCCACCAGATGAGATTTATATGTGGCCTTTCGCAAACGCTGTCCGCGCCCGTGCTGCAAGCGTTATGTGCTCTTATCAGAGGATCAATGGATCATATGGATGCCAAAACTCCAAGATCCTCAATGGTCTGCTAAAAGGAGAGCTCGGATTCCAAGGCTTTGTCATGTCTGATTGGTCAGCCGTTCACACGGGCGTTGCTTCGATCGAGGCTGGACTCGACATGGACATGCCTGGATACATTCTCCAGCCTGGCAGCTCCCCAATTGTGATCAACGGAACGCAGTCTTTCAGCTCCTTTTTGGGCGGCAATATCACCATCGGCGTTACAAATGGTACCATCGATATGGAACGCCTGGATGACATGGTCACCAGAATTATGGTCCCGTACTACGCTCTCCACCAGGACGAAGATTTCCCCACGGTCGATCCGTCAGTGGCTCGTTTCAAACCTTGGACGCCGCTTGATATCTGGCTGCGCGAGTGGAACCTCACCGGTCCTTCTCACCGTGATGTCAGAGGCAATCATGGCGAGTTGATTCGCAAACAAGCTGCCGCATCAACCGTCCTCCTCAAGAACGAAAACCAGGCTCTACCCTTGAAGAACCCCAGAAGAATCGCAGTATATGGCAACGATGCTGGCGAGGTCACCGAGGGTCCTTTCAACCAGCGGCAGTTCGAGTTCGGAACTCTTGCTATTGGAGGCGGCTCAGGAGGTGCTCAGTTTACCTACCTCATCTCCCCTCTTGAGGCGATCAAGGCGCGTGCTGCCAAGGACAATGCTCTCGTGGAGGTGTGGCTTAACAACACCATGGCTATGGGGCGTGATTTGAAGCCTTGGCAAGCGAGACCACGGCCAAATGAGCCAGATGTCTGCTTGGTTTTTCTCAAAAGCTGGGCCGCAGAAGTCTCTGATCGTGAATCACTTGATCTAGACTACGATGGCAACCAGCTAGTCGAGGTCGTCGCGGGGTTATGTGATAACACGATTGTTATTACTCATTCAGCCGGCATCAACGTTCTGCCATGGGCCGATCACCCAAACGTCACGGCCATCCTAGTCGCTCACTACACTGGCCAAGAATCCGGCAACTCCATAGTTGATGTGCTATATGGCAACGTCAATCCCTCGGGTCATCTCCCATACACCATTGCATATAATGCCTCAGACTATAACGCACACATTGTAACGAACATCAGCACAACAGGCACAGATGACTGGCAGTCTTACTTTGAAGAAAAGCTTAAGATAGACTACCGCTACTTTGACGCTGAAAGTATCGATTTCCGTTTCGAGTTTGGCTTTGGTCTCTCATATACCACGTTCGAGATTTCAGATTTCCTCATCGAAGCTACAGATGCGGAAGCAAATATCACATCTCGCCCTAAGGAGCAAGAAGTTCAGCCTGGGGGAAATCCCGCGCTGTGGGATACTCTATACACCGCCAAGGCCGCCGTCCGGAATACTGGCCGTGTTGGCGGCGCCGCTGTGCCCCAGCTGTACATCTCGTTTCCTGACAGCACTTCGGCAGGCACCCCGCCCAAGCAACTACGCGGTTTCGACAAGATCGATCTTGCACCTGGACAGAAATCTCAGGTGACCTTTGAGTTGATGCGCCGGGATCTGAGTTACTGGGATGTCAACGCACAGCTGTGGCTAATTCCCGAGGGAGACTTCACGTTGTACGTTGGATTCAGCAGCCGTAACCTGACCGAGTCTACGACTCTTACAGTGATATAGATGGCCGTGCTCGTGGGTTCTTCCTCCGGAGTTGAATGATCAATTAGATGGTCTCGGCTGGATCAACTTGCTGATCGGAGTGTCTTTCAATGCACAAGAAGAAGTACTAGTTTTATATTACTAAGATATTCCATAATCTCCCTAGAGTTTGCATACCCCTAAGCCATCAGTGACAACGTACTGTTAAAGGTAGAAGGACTTTTGGACGAAAAGATGAAAAGAATCATGAGATGCCACTGGTTGAGATGCCGATGATACAAATATTGGTGGGAGCACCGCGGTCATGCCTTGGTCGTCTCGTCTCGCACACCTGGTATCGCCGGGTCGCCGGATATGCTCTCATCACACCAGCTGACGCGGCACCTGACGAACGAAAATATTCCGTTTTCGTTTAGCAGCCCGAGGATTTATTTTCTACTCAACGTCAATGTTAGGTGGAGACCTGGTTACGGGTGCGCAGATAATTCACAGTAACACGCCATTCCCGAACCAATTCACTGACCTATCTCTTGGTTGCTCTTTCCGCTTTCTAAACGCAATCAAGTCAAAACTTTGAACAGTTCAGCTACCAATCCATTTGAGCTACATATGTCAATTGAGTCCACAAAGAGCTTGCCCTAAGATTTGTCTTGGACCATGCGAGAAGACTCAATTGTCTGGTGAAGTCCAGGTCCACCGTCCTTCCAGCCGGCACTTCTATCCCCTGCATCTCCTACCTGCTATAACTTGGGTCGGCATATGGCTCACGGTGGCCGCATCTCACGACCTGCGTGCAACCCCGTGGTCTGCCGTGCAGGACCCGTACGGGAGAACACTTGGGGGAACCGGCGAAAGCAAGCTAGGTGGCGCAAGTCGGTGACCCAGCTAACATATAAAACCTTCCATATGATCCCAAGATGCGCGTCGAAACCCCGGTGATGGCAAGGGTGTTATTACTAAAGATACTGACTCGAAAGTCGAAAGAAACTCAACCGTCCCTGTTGGCTTGTGACGGAGCCAGCAAGCAATCCGGGGTGCGAGGAAAGTGGCGGAACTAGTTCGATTGGCTAAGACTATTACCACCGGGTCACTGTATCCAATGGATGGCGAGATGATAGGGCGTGGCGTCAGCCTTGCAAAGATGAGCATTGTGGCCAACGTTCTGGTCTAGTTATGGACGCCGTCTCCTTAGGCCTCATCATTGGTGCTTCTTTCCACCCCTGCAGAAGCAAAGAGGGCTTCCGTACCTTAAATCCACCTGCATTTACAATACCCCGTTGGTATTTTAGAACTCAACATCCTGTTCTCCTGTAATCCAATGCTCCACCGTTCGGAAGATAAATGGAGGTATAGACTAGGACAAGTGACTAATCTAGCGAGGGTGATCTTCGGGCCGCCTCAACCAATACATCAGCCTTCCTGAATTCGCATGCTTTAAGCCCTGTCCAACCCCTCGTAGGCAGCATGTTGGGCCTATTTCTTCTGGAGCGCAGCCTCCAGAATATTCTTGACCTTCAGTGGCTTTATCTCGGGGAACACTTGCGTGAGATCCTTCACGCCGAGACTGGCAAGGTTGAAAGAGCCATCATCAAACCACAGTCCAAACGTTGCCATCATCTGCTGATATGCTTCTTTCGGGAACGCTGCGTACGATGGGACGTGGGCCGGGATTTCGGTGATTTGACCGCTCTTCAATTTCTCAGTGCTGTCGTAAGTGACGTCGAACTTAGAACCTGTAGCGGACGGAGAAGATCAGCTGTGCCCTTTCATGCTCGACATCGTTCAAGGAGCTACCTTTTGCAGTCTCTGCAAGCTTGAGGAATTCGTTCCAAGTGACACTGTCGCCAATGATATAGGTGTCTGGCTCCCATTTCTCGAGATCAATGAAAGCCGCAACATATTTGGCTACATCGGTCGTGTGGGTGAACGTAACAGGGGTGTTGCCGGCCCCAGGGATCCCTGCCGCACCGTTGAAAATATCAATGGCCACGGTGGTGGGAGGCATGTGGGACTTGACGACATTCTGACACCAGTAATCGAGAAAGAAACCATTGTGTACAATGGTGTACTCCAGTGTCTTGGTCTCCTTCAAGACAGCCCAGGCATCCAGCTTTGATGGCACGGTCATGAATTGAGCCCTGTGTCTGTACACGTACGATACGAAATCAGTGACTTGTTGGTGGAACGCATCGGGGTAGGTTTACTCTTCTTTGTGGGGGATGCCCCAGCCAGTGGAGATGAACCTCTTTGTCGCCTTTGAAGCATCCGCAGCGCGAATGAGGCCAATTTCTGGCGAAAGTCCAGGTCCAATCAGCGTAGTGATGGCGGATATGACGGTGTCAATGCCGTGATCTTCGAGTGTCTTCATTGTTGCCTCCACGTTCGTATAGTCAGTGGGGATGATAGTTGCCCCTACCCCCTTTTCAAACGCAGGATTGGGCTTCTTTTTGTTAGTCATACAGAAGAACTATGAGCTTTGTAGCGCTGCTTACACTCCTAGCAAGGATCTTGACCTCGTGCTTCCCCGTAGCCACAAGAGCTTCAACGAGGGTTCGGCCAACATTTCCCGTACCTCCTGCAACAGCAACGATAGCCATGATAACAAATGAGGTGTGTGAGAGCGTAAAGTAGGATGTATGGGGCTTTGCAGATGACGAAGACAGAGCACGTGTCGTAGTTGAGAGCTTAGATACCTGGAAGAACAACTAGAAAAGTACTATTGTTGGTACAGTAATTGAAACCCGGCTTCCAGGCGTTTTTTATGTTCAATTCGGAGACCCAAACTTTGCTTCCGCCAGCTTACCAACCGGTTGCTTTCTGCCGCGAGGTACATGGTCGACTTCATTCACATTTCTCAGCATGGTGGAGCCGCGGATGTATTTTACTTCCGCAGGTTTCCCGCTTGCTAAGTGCGGCTGCATTAAGGGTGGGGGTACGTGGGGCATACACGTCGAGCCTCCCACATTACAAATCCCCTATTCCATAGTGTTGGTCCTGCCTTGCCGTCTAGAATGAAGCACACGGTTTCCAGTCCCTGTAGCTAAAATTCCTCTTTTCCCTAAAGCCGGCACATTCGGGACAATCATCACTAGAAAGCAGCTCCAATTTCGAATCCCAGAAGGGGCAAAGCTCAGCATATCATTGCGCGAAAGACGTGACAAATTATATAGTATGTACCATCTAGAGGGCGGATTCTTTGGGACCATCTAAGGCCCGTATGAAAACCCATGATTATGCGGCTTCAACAGTTCAGGAACGAACAAGCCGTAAGTGCCCGTAGTCTTCTCCACCTCAAAGATACCGAGAAGAAGAACCTCCGCCTGGGTACGCAACGAGGGGATGTTGCTTAGAAGTCCCTGCGCTAGATACAACCAGTCTGGAATAAGAAGCAGCCTTTGACGAATCGACTGGCACGGGTGTCAAGTTAGCTGGCTTCCAATGCTCGTGATAAGGTATCCCACCTCCAACCGTGCCGGCAAAGCATTCGAATGACGCATCTCCCAATGTACTGAGAAACTCTTGGGGCCCTCGTGGAAGTGCACAGCGCATTCTGCGATCTGATGAATTTCGACGCATCCCGCGAGGATTCTATGGACATTGCAACCTTCACCCCTAAGCCGGTGGAGAAACTGGACGAATTCCCCAATTCTCCCGACGTCTGCATTTGCTAACGCGGTCGCAGGATTCTCCAAAACTGTCAAAAGTAGGGCGAAGATAGCGGAGAGGGGATAGCAGAGAGTACCCCCTTTTCTGCGATTAGGAAGCTGTGTGAGATTGATGATGCCGGGGCAAATGAGCACGTACCAAAGGTGAAAGAATGACAGTGGCGGCAAACTTTGCGTAACACTGAGTATGCCACGGGATGCAGTTGCACACATGGCCAAAGAGAATGGCATGGTGAATTCAATGTTGTTTCTTCCGAGAGCGAATAGTTGAGCCGAGGCTGAAGATTCCCGGGCGTTTGAACGAGCCAACACCATGTGAACCTTGACGAGACAGCTCAACTACGAATAGTGCAAGAGAGCGAGAGAAATATCTAAAGGTTCCCCCGATACACGGCACATCGGCTGCATATACTCTGGTAGACTGCTCTTCCATTCCTGGAGTTCCTGTTTCGTTGCTGTCACAACCTCAAGGAGTTCTTGGTTGTTGAAGGGAATCAGCCTTTCGGATTGCTGGAGTTCGTGGACTCGAGCTTGAATCACAGCCAATTCTGCCCTCCGTCGGAGCAACCCTGGAGACTTGTGTCCGATATTTTCAAGTGAGCCTCAGAGAGTCTTCAGGAAGATCCACCGTCGGCCTGCTGGTCCCAAAGGCTGAATGCAAGCCGCACTTGTGCATCAAGTCAATATCAAGTATGTAGGCCATCCAGAAGACCTGCTTATGCCTATCTGCTGTGAGGGGTTCAACAGAGAGGTGATAACTTTTCCGGTGCATGCCGAGGTTGCAGATTTGGCGAACAGCTGCAGCAGTGAGCAGCGAGGCCGTTTGTATATCAGCTGTGCATAACATGAACATTGCCATATACAGGAGGGCCTCGCACGCTGAGGGATTCGGTTCTTGGATGATGAGCTCTGGAAATACAGAGAACGAGTTCTTGAAGTAGCTCCATGCGATCGGAGCTGATTGTGCCAGGGACTCGTTGGTTGCTCTGCACATGAAGGCGTTGGCAAAGACTGCGTTCACGATGGCCCATCGGGAGCAATCAGTGGCACAGTCAAAGCCCGCTGCGTACTGCTGGCTCAGCAAAAACTGCAAAGATTCGGCGCTTAATAGAGCACCGTAGACTTGAAGTTCTTCCAGTACAGGATGTATGAGCTGCTCGGTCTGCTGCTGCAGGGGAAGCCCTGCAAATACTCTCCTTTGGAAGCTGCTCCGATCTGCATGAGATTGCATCCATTGGTACTCGACGTTGGTTTGAATCGCAAACTCGCTGAGTTTCAGAATGAGTCGTTCGCGAGGTGAGGTTTGTAATTCATGTGCAGCTGTTGCCTCATGGTCAACTTCTAAGTCGTCCTGGATTTCGACTCCTGCAATCAGCGCTTCTGCAGATTGTTCGATCAGAGGGGAGTGGTCTCTTGTGGGGGAATGGCAAGAATGGTCGCCTTGAGGAGGAGTCAGGGAGGTAGTAATCCGCGAGGTAGGGTGCTGCAAGGCAGACTCTACCAAACTCAGCCGCTCCTCGAGATGCTGGACGTAGGCCTTCCTAAAGAAAGTCAGAATTTCAAACCTTTTTCTTTGATTCTGGCATGCTTAATTAGAGCCTCACTTCTTGCCAGCTCCCCGATGCTTTCGCTCAATGTAATTGCAAGGGGCGCTGATCCTTGCACATTGTCCACAGGAGGGTGTCGCATTATCGCAGCGCCTCTTTCTCTTCCTGCATTGCAAACAGGCCTAGTATATGCATCTGCGTGAGATTATTGCTCCTATTAGACCAAAACAAACGACCGGGGAAGACTTGCGTTTACGACCCGTTTAGTGCTCTGCTGCTCTCCTATTGACGACGTGGCATCTGACCGAACCATCTTTCCTTCGATGTGGGGCACAGAACAATGGAGCTTGGGCTCTATCAGTGACCAAAGATGGAGATAACAGACATTCAAGGGGGAAGTAGGGGTTTGAAAGAATTACGTAGAATGAGGTTGTTGGGCTTCTGCCCAAGGCAACGTATTGGCCAGGCTAGGAATCCATGGATACGGACTTCGTATCTGGTCCCACTCAAGACATAAGTACATTAGTTAATGCCGGTAGTTCATATCCCACATCGCTCATCTCATCCCACATCGCTCGCTTCATCCCACATCGCTCATCTGATCCCACATCGCTCTAGAACTATCCAATCATCTTTCTCTCAGTCAATAAATATCTTACCGTCAAAAGCTTCGATTTGAAATAGCACAACGCACCATTAGGAAATTAGTCATTCACCTCCGCGGGTAAAATATGGAATTGAATAGAAAAAAAACTCAATATAAAGCAGATAACTGTTGTCTACGAACTCAGCCTTGATGTCGCGCACAAGTGCTCCACACACCGGGAGCAATCACCTCCCGATTCATCCCGGAACATGTCCGTCGTTGCTATCATCGGAGCCACCGGCAAACAAGGGGGGTCTGTCATCAGACAGCTGCTGAAGACTTCGAAGTGGAAGGTCAGAGGCGTTACTCGCAACTTGGATGGAGAGACGGCGCAGAGTCTTTCCCGCGAGGCAAGTGGCTTCTCCCGCAGCTGCGGAATGGAACACCTAACCTCGAGGTACAGGGAGTGGAAATGGTGTATGGCGATGTGAATGATGAGTCAAGCTTGCTTCGGGCCTTTGAAGGAGCCACGGCAATCTTTGCGGTGACAACCTTTTGGGAATTTATCCACACACTTGGTGTCGAGGGAGCTGGCGAAGCAGAGGTCTCGCAGTTTATCAATCTCGCAAAAGCAGCTGCTGCCACTCCCACATTGCGTCACTACGTTCTAAGCACATTGCCCTCCGCGAGTCGAATTTCTGCAGGACAGTACCCCGTTCCGCACTTCGACTTTAAGCAGAAAGGGGTTGATTGGATAGTCGCAAACACTCCTGACCTCTGGGCGAAGACGACTGAGTTTTGGGCGGGAGCATACGCCTCGAATCTGGCAGAACTTCCATTGCTAAAATTTATTGAAATCGTAAGTACAGATATTTATCTGCTCAGCAGTGGTACATGACTAAAAAGGAGACAACACTACAGCCTGGGTCCGGACATTACGTTTTGATGGCACCTTCTTCGCCGTCGGGTCTTTTCGTTTTAGCTGGCGATATGGAAACAAACTGCGGGATTGTTATCGAAGGAATCTTAAACGCCAGTTCCAGGACTTTTGGTAAGATTGTTATTTGTGTTACTGACTATATCCCGCTCCACGACATCGCGACAGAGTTTTCAAGGGTCACGGGGAAACCAGCCACGTACCTTGAAGTATCTGATAATAACTTTGCAGCAATCTGGGGTCCTTTTGGCACAGAGCTGGCTTCTCAGCTTCGCTGGGGAGAACAGTACTCGGATTGGGAGAGCTTTGGTGAAGGTCGAGTCATTAGTATGGAAGAGCTCAATTTGAGTGATAAGCTAGTGTCTTTTGGACAGGCCTTGGAGAAATTAAAGGACAGATTGATCTAGTTTTGGGAAATGTGGACTTGGGTCCCAGATGAGAGGTGGACAAATATATACTTTGCGCTTTTCAGCGACTTGGTCCTGCAGTTCGCATCGACGATGACTTCCCATTTGGACCTACGAGAGTATCTCCTCCGGAATAAAGGGCTATCTCATCACACATTATATCCTCATTTGACAAGATGATCATAAATACAAGAACAACTCGACCATGCAATTCAACCAATTTAAAAGTTGGGGCCAAGCCTTCTCTACGCATCGTTTGGTGGCTCAGGCGGCCACCTTGTTGAGTTAGGGCAATCAGACAAGATCCTTGCATTTTTTGACGAATGCTTCCATCGTCTCCTTCTATGGCCAACCTCCTCTCCATGTTGTCGTGCAGCGCGACTAACATCTACCGTTTGATGGAGGGTTGTAGCCAATTTCTAGCTCCATCTAATTAGTGTCATCCAATATTTGACTGTCTTGTCGTCAAACCCGTCGGGATTAGGCCTGAGGTCTATCTTTCACGGAAAATTCTCGAGGATCTTGGGGCTCTTGGAGGACAGTGTTGTATATGGTCATTAAAGACACTGCTGTGCTGCACGGTGCCGACTGGCAAGCATTAACGTCTTGACATGAACAGGTAGGAGTCATGGGTAAGCAGTTTGACTGATTTAATTTGAAGGAATACTTGGCCCGATTGAACTGAATGATGCAGGTACGCCTACTTCGCTCGGCCATGGCAAAGGAACCGATCATCACAGCCTTCAAAAGCCATTGGAGTTATATGTGTGGAATTGTATAGAATCGAGCTCTTCTCGTCAATCAAGCCTAGCCTAGACTAAGGTTGCCGACCCAACAGAGACAGAGCAATCTCCTCCAAACCAGTGGTTGTCAACATTAGCAATCCCACGAGCTCATTGTCTACCTCGGTGTACTCCGTAGTATAATCGCCACTGAGCATCAAAGCCTTGAGCAACCCAAAGACCTGGGTAAAGTCGGCTGGATTCTCTTCAAAATTCTTGAAAGCTGACTGAAGCGTCTCTCTCGGCTCAATTGCCGTCTCAGTCCGCTGTGAGCCTGGAGAAGCCTTCTTTGCCAGCTCAAGGACCTTCCTTTGCGTGATGACGGCCTCATGGACGTGAAGCAGTCGGTTCTTGCTCTGATCTGCCTTTTTTAAGGCGCCAACCACTGCTTTGCCAATTCCCGTCATGCTGGTGGTGCTGATGGGTTGATCGCCTTTTCCGTAAAACTGGACCCCCTTTTGAGGGTAATCAACGAATAGCGGGGATCTAAAGACGTATTCAAGGAATGGCTTAACTGCAAAGAACGTGTACTAAATCTCGCCTGACTTTACCTTTTCTTTCAGGTAGTTTTGAATTTGGACGAAGGGTCGGTACAGAGACAGTGAAGATGCGCGTCTGTCAAGGTTGAGCAAACTAAAGTCGCTTGGGATGAAGCGCTGAACCCCCGCAAGTATGCTGCCATTGATGATGGTTTTCTGGATCGAGATCATCTCAGTGGCGATACTGACGACAACAGTGTCACGGCCTTTCAACGATTTGGCAATACTTTCAGCTGAAGAGTAGCGGTCTGGGTGATTGTGACGCCCGGGGGGACGGTCTTGTTCGCAGTGGCGCTGCGGCTAAGCACAATGACGTCCAAACCTGCTAGGACAAGCTAATCAAGGATGGCAGAGCACAGAAGACCTTTCTGTAAGTGTAGTGTTAGCAGACAGCATGGTATAACTTAAGGAAAGCTGTAACCATACACCAATCAGTGCGACTTTAGTGAGCGACGCCATTTTTAACAACGGGAAGTAGATATAAGGAAAAATTCGATTCCAGTCTAGAGTGTGTTGGATGAAGAGAAAAATCAGGAAGCAAGAAGGTCGGAACGACACGATTAATATAGGCGTTGCCCCTGTGCGCCATGGCCAACAGCTGTGATTTCGACCTGTCCTTAGTAAACTATGGTGACATTCATTTCATTTGTAAGCGTCGGTGCGCCGGCGACAAATTGCATTCGCTGGCTTATAAACCAAGACCATCGATTTTAAATTATTGTTGGAGAGAGACCCTGTACAAGGAAACCTTCAGTAGATTGATATCTGGTCTTTAGTCATGATGACGAGACCAAAAGGCCCCTCATCCGGCTGATCCGGATGACCCGGATCGATCATGATAATGATCATCAATTTGAACAATATTACAACGATTGAATTGACCGTATCGGATCCATCAATTAACAGTCAGATTTCCGTGATGAAGCTATTTGCGCTACGATCTATATGGCTTTTATAATCTATTTCAAGATCAATTTCCCTACCAATTCCACCCAATCTTACCTACCTTACAAATAACGCAATATCGGACAATGCCGTTACTGCTAAAAAGATCCTCCTTAAGACCTTTAAAGATTGGGTTGATTGGATAGGGTCTTCCAAGCCAAGGCGTCTTCGGCTAAGATCTGGGACCTAGTCGATCTGGATTAGGATGTCGAGCCCTTGGAAAAGCCGGTCAGACCGACCTTCAGCAGCTATTTCCGCCGAATTCCTATATAGCGGATGAGCCTGAATTACCCTGGACCCGACAGTTATCTAGTCAAACTCTTCCTACAATCCCAGTTATTATCTCCAAATTGTTCAATCTAATAAAGCCGGCCCGATCTATTAGGAATCTAACTTCTAAAGATAAGATCTTCTATTAGTCTAACTCTAAAACTACAATTAAGACTATTGGGAATACCTACTCTAGTAGTAATTACTTAAAAAGCTTAAAATTTGGGTTCTAGAGACTGCTTTTAAGGGACTAATAGCTAGCTTTTATTATTCCTACTAAGACCTTTAGACTTAGTATTCTAACCTAAAGATAGTATTAAAGCTATAATAATAAAATAGTAAAATAAGACTTTAGCTAAATATTATAAATTCTATTTATAGTATTTAAGATATTAAGGAATTTCCTTACTAGCTTATAGATTAGAGTAGGCTATATAGAAAGCTTAGGCTAAAGGGATTAGAAACCTAAATAACTCTAATATATAATTTTATAGCCTATATAATACTATTAAGCTAGTCTACTAACCTGAGTTTTAACTTTTTAAGGAATTTATTAAGAGAAATTAGAAGATAAAATCTTAAAGATCTAAATTATAATAAAGTCTATATATAGAGATTAACTACTAGACTTATAAAAGCTATTTAAGGCCTAAGGCTAAGGTAATAATTAGTCTTTAGATTAATTTATATAAGAGGCTTAATTAGAAAGATAATAATAATTATAACTTAATTAGAATAAGAATAAGAAAAAGAAAAAGAAAGACCTTATTATAGTTATCTTAATTAAAAGAGAAGAAATATAAGTCTAAATAATCTAGCCTAAATAATAAGAAGAAGGTTAAGTCTAATAATAACTAAAATTAAGATATCTATCTATAAGGCTATAAAGGTAAATAGTATATTTAGAAGAAATACTACTATATCTTTTTATTAAAGGCCCTAGCCTAGTTTAAATTAGCTCTTATTATTAAGAATAAGTTATATACTAACTTTCTAATTAAGAGTAAAAAGACTAGCTTATAGCCTTTAAGCTAGACTATTTAAGCTAGATTAACTAGGCTAAGAAGTTAGCTGCTATAATAACTTAATATTCTTAATTAAAGGCTTTTTTAATATTAGGATATCTACTGTAGATATTAGCTATTTTTAACTTTAGACTATAATTTATATCTTTAATTAAATTAGCTATTTTCTAGATATTAGCCTGCTAGATCCTTAATATTCTTATTACTAGAGAATATAAATTCTAATTTAAGAATATAGTAAAGTTAATATTATAACTAATAGATTAAGAGCCTTAAAGTTATTACTTTAAATAATATAGCCTATTATTCTAACTTCTCTTATAACCTAATATTCTTATAAAAGCTATAATAGCAGGGCTATTAATAGATATATATTTAGATTCTAATTATCTTAAATTCTAGATAGTTTAATTATATACTTTTTATTTAATTATTATAATTAATTTATCTTAAATATATTCCTATTAATACTGCTTTTCTATCTAATATAGCTAGTTTAATTTAATAACTAGCCTAAGGTAACTAAGTAAGATATATACTATTAGCACTTACAGCTAGTTATTTAGAACTTAAGCTCTAAAAAGGCTTATTAATAAGATTATAGAGGCCCGAATTAAAGGATTATAATAATTAGCTGTAATAATTATAGTACTTTTAAGATTACCTAATAAGTTAGCTAGATTCTAAGAGACCTTCTAGCTAACTTAAGCTAAGACTAGCAATTAACTTCTATAACCTAGAAGGTAATTCTAATAGATATATTAGTCTACTATTAATAATAAACTGCTATTTCAGTTATATCTAGAATTATTATCTTAGATCTAGAAGTAAGTTAAGCTTATAAAGATTTTTAAAGCCTTTCTAAGCTACTTTTTTATTAATTTAACTTAAAGCTATAGATAGTTAAATATAATAGAGAAATTCTAGGAAAATTAGAAGACTATCTCTATATAATATATTAGTTCTTTACTGGATAAGTATTATTATAAAGTTAATAGCTATAGATATAGCTACTTAAAATAGCAGAGCTAAGCTATTTAGTAAGGTTATTAAAATTAAAATAAGAGTCTTATAATTAGAAGCTTAATTTTCTTTCTTTTTTAAGTTAGATTTATAAGATTGCTATTTATCTCTATAATTAAACTTCTAAAGTAATTAATAACTAGAATACTCTATATATTAGTTTTATATAGCTATAGCTTAATAGAATAGTTATAGTTAGAAATATAAGGTCCCCTACTTAAGTTATTATAAGTTTATAGATTTAAGGTATTTACTATAACTTAGAATACCTAAAGAGTAGGAAAAAGTAATAGAGGCTAAATCCCATACCTAAATTAGCTATCTTATAGGATACTAATTAACTAATATCTATTAAATTTAAATCTATTTACTAAAAAGATTATCTTTATTAGAATATTATTTTTAATAAAGATAATTAATTTAGCAGAGATATTAACTAGCTATAAAATAACTTATTATATATTAAAAAAAAAAGACTAGATTATCTATTAAATTAATAGAAGTAACTTAACTAAATTAGTTACTAGAAGAAATAGCTAGTAGCCTAATAACTAAATAGAAATTAACTTACTATAAGAATTAAAATAATATCTATAATAAGAATTAAAATAATCTAACTAATTTAGATTCTAGAGATTAGGCTGAATAAATTAATTCTATTCTATATATAAATAGATTAAATAATAGGAATATAGAAATAACTTCTTTAAAAATTAAGTTTAATTAACCTACTGAATTATAAAGCTTTCTAGTAATAGAATTAAAGAAGATTCTTAAGAAAAACTAAGAAAAGAATATAATACCTTAGATAGTAATTAATCTGGATTTCCTAGAGTCTATAAATATAATTACCTAATACCTATATCTTTACTACTAGTAATACTTCTAATAATAATAATTTAGAATGTATTTAATTAACTTAATAACTTAAATTCTAGGGACTTTATAATTTCTAAAATTAAATAGCTTAATATCTAAAAAGCTGCCTTTAATATAAAAAGATTAGCTAGCTCTATTAGCACTCTTAATAGAAAGCTTATTAATAAAATTAAGCTATAATATTTATTAAAGAAACTTAAGTCTATTTATTGCAATTAGCTTTTAAAGCTACTATAGTACTATTAAGATCTTTATAATTACTTAATAGAAGTCTAATTTAAATAGGCTAAATAAGACTATTTATAAAATCATAAAAAAATAGAGTTTTAAGCTGAGATTAATAAAGATAACCTAAAAACCCTAGAAAAATAAACTCTTAATTGTATATAAGTTTATATCTATAAGTTTAATAAATATAGCTGCTACTTAAAGTATAAAGCTAGGCTAGTTATTTAAGGGGACTAGCAGCTAAAAAAACTAGATAAAAAGACTTATATCTCTATTCTAATTAGATAGTTATTTTAGTTACTTATTATAATAGCAGCCTACTTTAATTTAAATCTTATATAATATAATGCTATTAATATCTTTATTAATACCAAGCTAAATTATTAAGTTTTAATAAGGCTGCTACCTAAATATAATTATAACGGAAAAATCCTATTAATTTAAAAAGCTTTATATAATCTATAGAAATCCCCTCTTCTTTAGTAGATAGAACCTTTAGTAATTTCTAGGGATTAAGGTTATTTAAGATTATAAAGCCAGCTTAATCTAGCTATTCTAATTCTTATATTTTAATAAAATTACTAACCTAGTAGATAACCTAGATTAATAGTATAAGATTCTTATAAAAAAAAACTCTTTATAACTATATAAGAAACAAACTTTAATTTCCTTAGTAAGATAATACTAATAAAAGATTAAATTAATTCTCTATACTATTATTATAACCCAGCTTAATATAGCCTTTACTATATTATAGCTAGCTAAATTCAATTTAAATCTAGAACTGGATTATTATAGAGCTGTAAATTAAGCTCTTTTATATCTTAAGAAGACTAATAGCCTAGCTCTTTAATTCAGCTAAAATAATCAATTTCTTATAGCTAGTAATACTTTCTATATAGATAACTTTAACTAAAAAAGCTTTTAAGCTTATATTATAAAACTATTTAAAGAGATAATTAAATAGAAGATTAATAAGTAAGCTACAGTTATTATATTTATAACTAAAGTTAAGCTTTTAATTCTATTTTAAGTAGCTAGCAAAGCTATATTTATTTCCTAGCTAGTTAAGAAGCTAGAAATCTAGCTAAAAAAGAAAGAAATCTATATTTAATATAATAACCTTTAGATGATCTATTTAATCTATTAAGATATTAATAAATTATAAACTAAGCTATATTATATTAATATATATAATTATTAGCTAAAATAAGAGACCTAAAGGAATAAAATTATAATAAATTATATTAATATAAAAGAAATAATTACTAATAATCTCACTAAGGTCCTAGTAGGCCTAATATTTTAATAATTAGTTAAATAGCTAGGTCTAATAGATATTATAAATCGGCTAGGATAAAGAGAATTAAAAGACCTAATAGATAACAATCTAGAGATATAAAGATTACAGCTTCAACCTGAATAGCTTCAAGCTGGGGGGGTGTATTAGAGAGAGACCCTGTATAAGGAAACCTTCAGTAGATTAATATCTGGTCTTTAGTTATAATAACGAGATTAAAAGGCCCCTCATCCAGCTAATCCGGATGACCCGGATCGATTATGATAATGATCATCAATTTGAACAATATTACAACGATTGAATTGACCGTATCGGATCCATCAATTATTTCACCAAAAAATATTTCACAAAACCTTAACCTTCTAACCATCCCCATATACTACTACAGACTCAACGCAATTGCAACTCTGGTCGGCACTTTTCTTCGGCTGCCAGAACCAACGCCTGGAACGAGGGCTAAACCTGGTCCGACTGGCAGTGCTACCTGAATACCTCTGCTCTTTTTCCTGACATTTCACAAGTCTCTCACAGCGCTTGTGTTATTTGCTGACAAAATGTTCGTCCTCGTTGTAGAGTTCTATCGCGAATAGCAGGCCGAAGATGGCGAGTGTAACAATGCCAGCGTGTATTATATGGTAAGTGAGACCCGTTTCTTGTGGAGGGCAGCTTGAATTTGCTATAGCAGCTTTTCGAGCGGTCTATGATCTTCGCGATGTAGGCTTACTGCTTCGTGAAGCTTGCCAGACAGTGTGATTGTACTAGCCGTGCCAGACGATTTCCAAATTGACGGGATCTCGAATCTCCACTCGCGTATCCAACATCTACAAAGGAAAGTACCCCTAGGTCGCAGAACAAAACCTTGCCTCATCGGTAACACCTGCCATCCTCCAAACGCGTGGGTCCTACGGGAGAAGTAGTCTATGCTTTCCGTGACTTGAAACGAACCAGAAGTCCTTGCTGCCGAGCGAACCAGTACGTCCTGACATTCCAGTCTGGCTTCTCTGATGCCCACTCTAGTTCAAACTGCCGGAGTACCTGTGGCACCAGCTTTCCCATCTCCATGATTGATATATTCTTCCCTATGCATGTTCTGGCTCCTGCTCCGAACTGATAAGCGTTAGTCACGTCATTCTAATGGAGAGAGGAAGAGACACTCACCGTAAGCAGATGCCGGTCCATCACCTTGACCCTCTCCTCCTCGCCCATCCATCTTTCCGGCCGAAATGCGTCTGCATCTTCCCCAAAAATCTCCTTGTTTCGGTGAATAACAGCAGCGTTCATGCCTACGATAGTTCCCTCGGGAAGATGTTTTCCGGACACTCGGACACCCCCCTTCGGCACGATTCTTTCAAGCGGGAAGGAAACACCAGGATGCACTCTCATAGCTTCTTTCAAGCAAATCTGACTGTTTAAACCCACTCCATCAGCATTATACTTAGGCTTATGCCAAGGCTGGATTGGACTTACAGGTACGGCATATCAAGGCTCTCGCTATATGTGATTACGGGCGAGAGTCGACCTGCCGCTTCAAACTCATCCACTTCTTTCTGAAGAGTGGCATAGACTCCTTTGTCCCGAATAACGTAGTAGAAGACTGCCCTTAGTGATATCGCTGTTGTGTCGCTTCCGGCCAGGCTATTCGTGTGTCAGCCTAGATAAAACTCTAGACCAGTTCGGTTGAGGCCTGATTGCTTATTTACTCACATGTTATTAAGCAGGTGATTCATCATCTCTCTCCTTTGAATTGGGATGCCAGTTGACTTTTGCTGCTGGCGCAAATAAGCAAGAAAGTCAGATCTGTCGCTACTCCCATCCCCGGAATCGTGTTCCCGAATCGCACTTAGCACCATCTTCAGGGTGGTAAGCAGGGTCCTCCAAAGCCATAGTCAAGCTCATGGCTAACTTGGGGAAGCACTTACATCGCTAGCGATCTTCATGGGATCGGAGTTTGAGACGGCGCGCAGCAGTTTTTGAAACAGCATGCTCCCTAAGAGGAACTGGTGCAACCAGGGGACTTGTCCCACTATGCCCGCATACATCAAAACCCACTCAATTGCCGATATGATTCCTTTTACATCTTCTCGTTTCTCCATGAAGCCGAATCGTTTCGCAAACGTGATGGATCCAATCACATCGAATGCATACCATTGAAGCCAGACCCCTAGGTCTACAACTTCTCCTTGTAAGTCTTCCATCGCCTCGGTAAATATTTCGCTGCAGGGGTCTACTAGATGCTCGAGACTTCGAATGGATGTCATGCTGAACTTTTGCGCTACGGGCCGCTTTAGCTCTTTGTGCTCGTCGGGTGATATGGTGGTGAACAAGCTAGGCATAACTTTATCCTCAAAGCTCATGTCCATAGTGCGATAGAAGGGAGACTGCAAAGAGAAGGTTCAGTGTCTGCATACTACTTAGAGGAGTTGGTGCCGTAGGACAAGATAATACCTTGATGAATTTGCTGCTGATCCCATAGATGATAGGTATGGCGTCAGGATCGGAAATGTCGACAACTCTAGGCGCGGTGCGGACGATGTTGCCATATTTCTTATGGAGTTGCCGGTACTCTATATGGGCGGTCCCTCGAAACACAAGCCACATGCGCCAGACCGAGCTCAGCGATGCAGGTCATGGTCCCGGTACGTTTCGGATGCCGTAGCCCCATGCATTGTGAAGCAGATACAGACACAAGGCAAGAGCAGCCACAGGCAGGGCGATCCCAAAGGATCGAGAGTCTTCGGAGAAAGCCGTCATAATTTGGTAAATAATGATGGAATTAAGTGCTTAAGGATTTGAGTAACTGGTTGCCTGGAAGCTACATTACTTAAATAGTGGCCCCCTTACCGTCCAAGGCGTCAAACAGCATCTCCAAACTTTGCAGACATATTGAACTAGCCTCCATTCTTTCTCCGCAAACATATTTGACTAGCTTCCATTCTTACTCCACTATCCATCCCTGCATCCCATGGAGCGAATGAGCGCAGGTTTTGCACCAGTCCGATGGGGGGAGGTGGCCACACAGCTGCTCCGGCGGAGCAAATGCTCGGACGAACTAATTCGTCACACGACGTAGGCATGTATATGAGGCACAGCAGCAAACTCATCAATTAGCCGGCAGAGAAACTGCGATGGCAACCCTCGCTTGACTGAAAGGGGAACAGCTGCGGTGGGGCGTACAATCCCGATCGCCCTAGCGCTGGAGTAATCTTCTAGTCCTCGAAGGATCCTCCGGAGATCCATATCAAAATTCGCATCAAGATTCCTTGAGGTGACGGATGTTCTTCGCCGGAGATTTATGGACAATCCACCTTGTTCAATTCCAGGTGACAGAAATCAAGTCAAATCGGGCCATGCGTATCCCCCCCCCCACATCCCCGCACGCTGGGAATCTGACGAGCATGTTCAGGAACTCAAAACAAGACAGAGATCCAGGGTGCAGCCGCGGAGCGGATGCCGAGGTCGCTTTGCCGAGTATCGTCCGCGGATGCAAACTTAATAATATACGGCGCGCTGCTTGTCAATTATTAATCGGATCCCTGCCCTGCCCGAGGATTCTCGACCTTTGATTTTGCGGGTTTGGGTGCTGAACGGGGCAGCTTACATAGTTTGAACCCCCCTCCTCCCTCTACACACCTTCTACCTCGACTTATATCCTGCCACCTCTCCCACTTCGACATTACCATCCTTCTGTCTTTTCAGACGGGTTGTTTCTTCACCTACCCACCCATACAATATCATACATAAATCATTCTTCACCATGGGCGGCCGTCTACCTTCACCTCCCCTGGAGAATCAAAAGTCACACAGCTCTAGGAAGGCATCTTCTTCCAACTCTGCCAACGCCATCAAGCCCCATCATAAAACCTCCAAGCGAGCCAGACCCCATAGTGCAACGGCACATCACGAACATGTGGCACATGGTATCTCTGACGGAAGGCACAAGCGGGCCTGGAAGGCCTGCGAGAGGTGCAAGATGAAGAAGGCCAAGGTAAGTCACCGGCTCAGGTGGCCAACCCAGTGTCTGGTAGGGCTTCGCCTGACAGGATTGTCACAGTGTGACGGCGAGTTCCCTTGCCAACGCTGCAATGATGACGGCCTCGTCTGCACGGCCGGAGTCCGCAAGACGATAGAGTACAAGCAGCTGCCTAGGGGATATACTGCAGTCCTGGAGCACAACCAGTTCGCCCTCGCCGCTACCGTCCACAAGCTTTACGCGATGGCCAGGGATCAACAACGATGGGACCTCGGCGAGCCGGAGCTCAACGATCGTGGACAGCCGGTGATCCACAACATCGCCTCGAAGCTCGGGTGCATCCGCCCCAAGAGCGACATCGACCTTCCCATCCACTCGGTCTTCCCTAAAGATGAGGTTGGCATAGTAGAACTGGAGCGTCAATTGGGAGAACAACAAAAAGAGCGCGAGTCTGTGGAGAGGACGACCACGACAGAGATGGAGCCACAATCGAGTCGCAACCTATCAGACCAATCAAGTCCCTCGGAACAGGACCACTCAGACTTCGAATTCGACTGCCGAAAACAAGTCTACGGCGGCGGCAACGTCATGGCCATGTCCTCTCAGAGCTTCGGAGGCTACGACGGCTTCGACATGGATTTGGCACCTTCGGCTGTCAACGCTACGGTCATGTTCCCCAGTCAAATTCTAGCAATGCCCGGCTACCCTCCTCAATGGGCGAGGGCGCCCAGGGTAACGTCGATGGATCCCTCACAACAGTTCATACCTACCAGCAGGCCTCATAGAGTCAGAATTCGGCACCATCAGGCCTCACATGCTCTCCTGTCCGAATCCCGAGGTCATGATAGTCATGGACGACTCGATGATGTTCTTAGGGTACAGGTACGACACGGAGTCGACGCGGCTGTAGGCCCCGGCGAAAGAAACAAACACAAAGTTCACTTTTTGTCTCCGGGGGGCCATCTCACGATGCACACGGCATGTCCCTCGGGGGATTCACGGCGGGTCCGCCGCAAGGACACAATTCTAGGTTGGATCAGCCACGCGACGTGTTTGCAATTGGGTTATGCGGGCGACGATGATCAGCTTCTTTCCTTATTCTGGCGGATTCGCTTTTCACCCAAGGGCGCAGCGTTTCATCGCTCTTACATTGTAAAGTAACAAGACCGAAAAGAGCAGTCACTGGCGACCTACCCTCCTCTGTGCGAATGGCATGGCGCGCGTGGCTGGCAAGGGTCTTCTGACATTACCCCCCTCCCCCCTTACGGATGACTTTGGTGACATGCATGTTGCCTTAATGATCACAAAGTGCATTTAGCAGCTCAGCCGACTCGTTGACCTGCCGTTGATGCTTGGTACGCCTCTGCGAGCCCATGTTACGGTGCCCGTATGGGCGATCCTTCGCCAGCGCCGTTCTACGCACGGCTACGATATGCGCCAGCAGCTCCATTGCCTCCTAGATCCCAATCTGGGAATCGGCTCGGTATGCTGTTGCCACTACGTGCTGAAGCACCTCAGCGGATTCCGCAAGTCGCTCCCTGTTCCAAGTATTGGCGTCTGTCTTGGAAGCCCATTTTATGTGTCCACCATGACGCATCTTTCACGGGACAAGGAATCAAGAGCGGAGCCGATTGTAATCCGGTCGCCTTTTTACGGCTTGACTCAGTATAAAGTATCCGTGACAAACCCAACGACAGTGATTAGGACGGCATGTACTGCGTCCGGCTGCGACTGGACCTTTGTCCGCACTAACCGCTACGGGCATCAGGTATGAATTAAGAGGGGAATATACCTTACATACTGGTGGCTGTACCCCTACAACACGGCGAAGTCCGAAGATCTTTGTACTGTTGCTCAGCGTCTTGGGAGGAGGTGGAAATCATCATTTTGAATCGTTTGCAGACTTAACACGTTTGCACTACGAGATAGACATTCCCTGGATGTTAAATCCCATAGGTAATCTTGTTTCATCGGACTATATCAAACAGGAAAAAATACTTGCTTGTTCAGTATATTATCTGGACAGTATAAATTCGGGCTAAGTAGTATCAAACCTAGATCAACATCAACAACATAGATCGTCCTCAACAACCTAGATCGTCGGCTTCCAACGGCATCATCGATCCGAGGGTATCCGGATCAGCTGGATCCCTAGGGATAAATTGCTCGACGACGAGTTCACCAAGGTTGCCCAGCCTTGAAAGTGTCCGTGCTTCCATGAGTGAAGAATCTTGGTGTATCCTCCAGGGCTAGGCATCTTTGCTATAGATTTGAAGACACTTGCCCTACTACCTACTGTACTAATTGCGTCTATTAATATTTTGAAATGCTAAATTTCATGCCTCAATAAGGACAAATTCTTTGACTTTAAGTGGAGGTCTGGATGCCCTAGGCCCTACACTTCGCACCCTCTTAGCAGCATCCTCCCTTGATGCCACTGGTGTTCTCAGTGATATTCTCGCCGATTCCCACGTTCGACCCAGCATTCGCGCGCTCATTAGGCCCAGCAATCAGGATCTTGATCACTTGGCCCTCCTTGACCTTCTTAAACGCGTCCTCTGCCTGCGTGAAACCCACGACACCCGTGATAAGTTTCTTAACATCTACGCTACCATTGGCCACCAGCTCAATAGCAAGTTGATAATCTCCAGGACCATATCTGAAGCTGCCTCGCACCGTGACCTCCTTCTGGCACAAGGCCATAATAGGAAAAGTAATATCTGCCTTGCCCATGCCACCCTGAACGTAGGTGCCTCCCATCTTTACAACATGCAAACTCGTTTGAATGCATGGTTCCGCCCCGCTGGCGTCAATGACAACGTCTGCACCCTTGCCAAGGTTGCATTGCTCGAGTAGGGCGTTCGCGTTCTCTTCTGGCGAAATGCGCTGGAAGGGGTATGTGTGTGTGGCGGCTAGCTCTGTGGCGAAATCGAGCTTTGACTGGATGATATCAACACTGACGACCTTGACAGCGCCAAAGGACCTGGCGACTGCTGCGCAGAGAAGACCGACTGGGCCGGCTCCCATGACCACAACAGTCGCGCCGGGTCTGACTCTTGCTTGCTGAACGATATGTACCGCAACCGCAAGAGGCTCAATTAATGCACCCTCTTGGAGGGAAACATTGGTAGGCAGCTTATAGCAGAAGTCGGACGGTGCAACCCAAAAGCCTGTAAGAGTGCCATCGTAGGGAGGGGTAGCCGCGAACACCATATCTGGGCAGAGGTTATATCGGCCAGCCAAACAGTCGTTACACCGCCGGCAGGGATAGCCGGGTTCGAGAGCGACCCTATCACCGGGTGCAAGCGTCTTGACGGCGCTGCCGACCTCGACGACAGTGCCGGCGGATTCGTGACCTAGGACCATAGGCTCTTCGACCACGAAGTGGCCAATCCTGCCATGTTCCCAGTAGTGTACATCAGAGCCGCAGATACCCGTGTAATTGACGGCTACCAGGACATGGTGGGCTGCGGAGATCTTCGGTATAGGTCGTTCGGCGAACTGAACGTCATGGGGTTTGTTCAGGATGAACGAGAGGTTCTGTAGGGTTGGATATCAGTATCAGTCATGCTGCCGAGGTCTGATTCAGGAATTGGGCAGCTAACACTGTTGGTCTTTGTTGATGAACTGGTATTCTGCTCAGGAACTAGCTCCTGAATTATAGATCCTGGGGCCATAGTCTGGATACTATATGGGGAATGCGAACTGGCGGGATGATGGGATTTGGCGGATTGTTTGGAAGGCAGTCGAAGGGGGGGCAGATATCGCGTGGAAGCATAGACCGACAGAATCTAGGGTGGGATTCACCGGTTCTGGACGACGAAGATGAGCGAGGTTAAATAATTTTGAATGCGTAGTCCGCGGCCAACGTATACGTATTAACGAAATTCGTGCGTCCTCATCGCGTATTTAGCTATTTCCTTGCCGTCCTACCTTCTACCCGGCGGGTGGATTAGCTGCTCTATACTGCTACCCCATTTATGGGGCATCTCTCCTAAGAGTTCGGAGCTAAGAATAATTGGCCTAGCCCTGAGCTGGAATGGTTGTTGTGGCGAATCTAGGCTTTCTCCGGCGGCTAAGAAAGGGTGGAGAGGAAAAAGGACCGGGTCACGGGACCATTGCGACTTGACAATTTCCATTGTCGCAGATTTCAACACAGTGGACGTACGCAAGGTAGAGAGGGGCCTTGATCAGTCAGTAGGGAGGCACCATCATCACCATCATCGTCGTCATCGCACTGTCGTCGCCATTAACCTCCCCCCAAGCTTTCCTTCGGATATCGCATTCAGGGTAGACGGAGTTATCAACAATGTCTGCGCCCAGTGGGAACGGAACGTTGGGGTTGGATTCTGTTCCACCCACGACCCGCCGGATGCCTACGAGGGTCTCCAATGCTTGCCGCAGATGCCGTCGGAACAAAAGTCGAGTAAGTCTTCCCGGTGTGCCAAAATAGCCGCTGACCCAGAGTGTGCAGTGCGATTCTTATCGGCCATGCTCTCTCTGTTCTCGTGCCAATGTGCCTTGTGAGCCGGCACCGGTTGATGAGCCTCCGAGAAGCAAGGGTAGGAGTTGCAATCGGCGCGTTGGGGCAAATACGCGAAAGTGAGTGGTTCTACTTGAAGCTGATGATCTTGCATGGTAACGGGTCAACGCGTCTGTTGAAGACGAGTTCAGTCCAGAGGCACCAGCGACGATAGCCCCTCCACAACCGTGCCGCCAACGCGGCAACCTTCGCTTCCTTCGGAGCACGATGTGGTTGACAGCGTTGGGGGACGGCCTGCAGGCACAAAGACTCCGGTGCCAGCGGATCGACGCGGCTCATGGGTTCCTGTAGACTATGGAGAGTCAGAGTCAGCCATGGGCATCGCGCGCAAGGTTAGAACACTGCTCCCACTACTTTCTCGATAAACACTTGCAAACATTACGACAGATATACAGCCTTGGAAGCCAAAGTATTGACGACCACCTAACCTCGGCCATTCCGGACGGAGGATGTGGAATCCGGAACCCTCGGAGAAGGACTGGCGATGAGCGCCTGCCAATATCTGCGATGCTTGGCAGCAGGTTCCCTGATCAACAAGCGATTCAATCGCTTTTGGAGGATTACTTTGAGTCCGTCCACTGGTTTTCGCTGGTTATATACGAACCAAAATTCCGGCAGCGCCTGTTGTCAATCAAGGACGGCTACGCGTACCCTGCCGAGGCGCCGTTTCTAACCTTGCTGTCGATGATTTTGTGCATGGCAGCTTGGTATCGGTCTAAGAGGGCCGTTCACAATGGTGGTGAAGAATGGCGCCTCTGGAGCGACGACTTGCTGAAGATTGTCGAGTCGCGACTAGTCCAGGTGATGGATCAGCATTCGATTGCAGCGGTGCAGACATGCATCTTGCTGGGATCTCATCATGTTTACCATGGCCGGCCAAACTTGTCTTTTGCCCTTTTGGGAGCGGCTGTCAAGATGTCTCATGCCATGGGTCTGCATCGTGATTTCACAGGTGGAACGTTCGGCGACATAGAAGAGCGCAAAAGAGTATGGTGGACGATCTATACCTGGGACAGGTATGAATCAGAGCATCTCGTTTCAAGACAATATTCTAACCAGCTAGGTTCGCTTCTATCTCATATGGACGGCCTTTGAGCATCAATGATGAGGATTGCAGTGTGGGAATGCCAACCGAATTCACCGAATCGCCATACTTTACCCAACAGTCGGTCGAACAGGGGCTGCCAGACATTACCTACTCACCGTATCAAACCGGACTGAGTAAACTGTACCTCGTCGCATCCCCCGCCCTAAAGAATATCTTTGGCTCACTGTCGGTGCGGTCTGCCAAACAACATTTCGAGTCCACGTACGCTTCGCTGGTCAGCGAGGTGACGCAAAGGCTGCTTGTTTGGCGCCGTCAGTTGCCGCAGCACCTGTCCCTAGACCTAAACAAAGACCACCACCCAGGTAATACCGAATGGGGCAGTCGGGCATACATCTTACAGTCTCTTTCACTGCAGTTGACCTTCGACAACCTGCTGATAGTGCTTCACCGGCCCTTCTTGGCTCGCCAAGTTGAGAACTTGTCGATGACGGCCTCAGCCCCATATACGAATGTACCTCAGACTGGATCGCCTTCGGTACAATCGCAGACGTCGTCGCTTACCCCCCATACCGACAGCCTATCGCCCCGTGATCATGCATCATCTGGGTGGGAAAAAAACGCGAGCTCAGAGCATTGGTGGAATGCAGCGGTTCGGACCGCGCGTGTGACCGAACTACCCCAACTTGCCCAACTTGCCACAGATAGCCATCTTGTTGCCTTTATGGCCCTGAACCTGTTTCACGCGGCAATAGTGCTCATTTTAGTCGCCCTTTCCGACCCTCTCTCCGATTCAGCCCAGGGTGTCAAACGGACTATTACCAAGGTGTTTAGATTGCAGGAGCTGCTGGGTCAGCGCTCAGCGCTCTCGAGCCAGAGCAGCGTCGTTCTCAAAAATCTCATCGGTCTGCTTCTCCGGCGAGAGGCAGAAGCCATGCTTGGCCCAGTCACGTCGGCACCTGTAGTGGGCTCTCGTGCAGAGCACCAACTCAGGGCTGCGGACGATTCTGGCCACTTGTCAGTTGAAGATACACTTCGGCTTCCCTTAGAGGCTACCCTGAGCACGAAAGACCAAGGAACTGAAGACCAAGCCTGGCCGAACAGGGCTCAGCGCCTGAACGAGAGCTTAGCATCTGTACAACGAAGTAAGGATTCTGCCTTTGCTGGATGTCGATGGCCGCGGAACAAAGCTGACCCCAATCTCTTGCAGTATTTCCGACAATCCAAGATGAACTGCCCCGATCTGATACAACAATGGTTTCGAGACATGATGTGAATATTCAGGACGGCTTGTTGCCACTAACACAACAAGAATTTTGCCAAGTGCCATTTGTACAATCAGATGGCTATGAAGAGCCTCACGCTATTGAAGATCAGCCACAGATGGTAGATTATGGGGGAAATAGTCTCTTCTGGCTCTGGGATTCTAACTGGAGTGGCGATTTTATGCAGTAAGCGGTTGAGCTTTAGTAGAACCGCGGTAGTTACGGAGCAATGAACTTCTCTTGTGTTCTTACACGATCTCGCCTGGTGATGTTACGCCTATGGACAAAATTGCGAGCAACAGGCGCGTCATGCTGCATCAACAGTGTGTCCCTTGTGCCGATCAGGGCAATCCCAGTCCTCCATCCGGCGGGTCAACGGCAACTCCGTATATTTACGGTTCCGGCGGCTCAGGGTTCCGCCGGAACGGCAGTCAGTTGGCCACTAATCCCCGTCTAGACTCGTTTCCCCCCCCCCTCCCTGCAGTAACTTCCCCGTACTTGGCGATCCACCTTGGAGCTGTACAACCAATGGACAAACGGTACTCGACTGTGCAACTACTAGTGCAGCCATGGGATTGGCCAAATGATGACGATTTTCCAGAACGAATTCTATGCTCTGCAGGGTTCCCCTTGGGGTTGCGGGCGGGTTAGTCGTAGTTCTCTAAATGTCAATGCTTTTCAAGTGTCTGTCTGCCTGCTCCAGGTCTATATAATCTGGGGCCCCAGGTTTCTTTTGATGGGGTGAAACAAGATCAACCTATTCTGTCTTCATTCTCAAGACACCTCGAAAACTTACGAACTCATCACTTTACTGCGTCCGCTGCAGGTATGGACAAGCCACCGTCGCCGACCCAGATGGAGACAGCCCCGTCCCCTGGAGGTGGTGAGAACCTCCCCGTGGCCCCGGTCTCGTGGCTTGAATCCAAGCTCAAGCCAAAGACCATTCACCACCGCTATCCTTTCAGAGGAAAGCCTCTCCTTTGGATGACCTGCGCATTTGGAAGCTTGGGTGATGCCTTGTTCGGTTATGACCAAGGTACGTTGTCCACCACCTCATACCTGAGCCCTTGCATCTTGCATTCTTATACTGACGCCGAACCTAGGTATCGTTTCCGGACTTCTGGTTAACCCGGTGTTCCTCTCGAGGTTCTTCAGCGACTATGGTGGTGCTGACGGGACCGATGATCACATCAACCCATCCGTAACAGGCATTCTCGTGGCATGTCTTCAGATCTCGGCCGCCATCGGCTCCCTGATTGCAGGTAGTCTCGGCGACATGATTGGCAGGAAAAAGTGCGTTCGTTTAGGCGGCTTCATCTACTTCGCCACCGCCTTTATTCAAGCGTTCGCTCCCGATTTCAAGACTTTCGTTATCGGCCGGACCCTCCAGGGCCTGGGCGTGGGTTTCCTCTCCATGACTGTCCCCGTCATCCAGACTGAGATTGCCGCACCACATCGTCGAGGCCTTATGGTGGGAGTCGAGTACACGTTTCTTATCGGTGGCTACGCGCTCTCAACTTGGGTTGACTTCGGCTTCTACTACCTTATCCCAAAGAGCGAGTCCTGGCAGGGCCCCTACTTCATCCAAATGGGTCTGGCCTTCATTCTGTTTGCCATGTCCTTCTTCCTCCCTGAAACGCCTCGCTGGCTCGCCCGCAACGGTTTCACCAAGGAGTGCCTTCAGACGGTCGCGGATCTTCACACTCCGGACGGTGATACGCAGGCCCATCACGTCCAGCAGGTCATGGTGGAGATCAAGGAGGCTGTGCGTTACGAGGCCAGCCTTGGACAATCGACATGGCTCGAGATGTTCACGCGTTATCGCAAGCGCACCCTCGTTGGCATCACGGCACAGATGTTTGCCCAGCTCAACGGAATCAACGTCATCTCCTTCTACCTACCTACGACGCTCGCCAACGCAGGCCTCAGCGTGCAGAAGTCTCTACTCTACACGGCTGCTAATTCAGTCCCCTACGTCGCCGCTACGATCCTCACCTGGTGGCTGGCCGATAAATGGGGACGACGCCCGCTATTGATCCTCGGTGGTAAGCTTACATGAATTGCTGCCCAGCATGCTTGTATCCAAGGGAAATCGCTGACTGAACAACAATGACAGGCATCCTCATGGCTATCGCCCTTTGTGTCGTCTGCGCCTTCACCGAAGCCCACATTTCAGACTCCAACACTCGTGCACACGGCATCTACGCTTTCGTTATGATCTACAACGCCATCTACGGCTTCACCTGGGGCCCTATCCCTTGGTTGCTTCCGGCCGAGATCTTCCCGCTGCGAGCCCGAAGCAAGGGCATGGCGCTGGCTACATGTTCAAACTGGATGTTCAACTTTGTGATTGGCATGTCAGCGCCGGACGCCTTCGCGGGCATTGGGGGTTACTACTATGTAATCATCGCGGGATTTTGTCTTATTTCAGTCGCACTGGCGTACTTCTTTTACGTCGAGACTGCCAACCATACACTTGAGGAAATCGCGCTGGCGTTTGGAGACAAGGCCTTTGCAGCGGATGATGAGACTGTTGTAGCGACGGCGCATCTCGGCCGTGAGACTGAGGAGAGAAAGTCGGCGCTGGTTTGAAGGGGAGATACCGTGGTGTATGTGATGATGCGGCGGAGGGTGTGAGGGGTTGGTCCAGCATGGCACCTAAGTTCAGGGTGCATCAAAGTATAGTCGGGGCTAGTTATGTACTATTTTATACACACTCACTTGTCTCTTTGCGAATGATTAGGTCGAACTTCCTCATCTGTTCCGTTCTAGTTGGAAACAATAGATCTGTTACCCTCACCAGCGCAGGAGATGGCGATATGAACGATGCCTTCCCTGGAGCAATACTTAGATGACACCTCCTGGCATTCCCAGGTTCACATTGATTTGGAAGATTGGAGTCTTGCCAAATGGATTGTCAAGGACCGACCTATCAATCAGCTCTCCCGTTCGACATACTAGTCACTATCCACCAGTCGCGCGTAGAGGGCGATCGTCCAAGCCGCAGACCATACCGTCTTGCAACTGCCGTAATCCATGCCGCGTTTCGGCTTAACGGCTGCTGCACCAGACCCGCTGATGAGCGAATGGATCTGGCCACCTGGGATGAGACCGAGTTGCGCCCAGTTGGATTGGAGCCAGCGTCCTTGTGGAGAACGGCCGAGAGGGGACCGAAAGCGAGTCCGAGACCGGAAGCCAGAACAAACTGGGCGCAATGACGTCGAAAACCGGCGGCGGCGACGGCGGCAGAAGCGGCGAAAGCGGCGACAGCGGCGGCGATTGCAGCGGCGAATTGTCGCCGCAGTTCCGGCCGTTTGGGGCGAATCTCCACAACACCGACACATGACCGATAGCGAAGCAGAGTATATATTTCCAAGTTCTCAGCACACTCTTAGGAACAACGCGTCTTTATCATTCAGTATAGTTTATTGCTCTTCCAAAGCGCCACCGAAACCAATCATGGCTGCTCAAGTAGGACGAAAGCCAACCGTCGTTCTTGTACCTGGTGCCTGGCAGAGATCTTCTGGATTCGATACAGTACAACAGAAGCTCCGACTTCTAGGATATCCGACTTTCCTAGTAGACCATTTGTCGACAGGAGCTGAGCCACCAACGATAGAACTTACCGATGACGTCAACAATTTGCGTCAAGTGCTCCAGCGATTGGTTGACCAAGAGAGAGACGTGGTCGTTGTCGCGCACTCCTACGGCGGCGTCGTTGCCTCGTGTGCAGTTGAAGGCTTTGATGTGGCCGAACTCAACAAGGCAGGCAAAAATGGCGGCGTCATAATGTTGGCATATCTGAGCGCATTCGTCCTTCCAAAAGGCAAATCCTTGATGGATGGCCTTCAAGGTCAATGGTTGCCGTGGCAAAGAGTTGAGGTTTGTAGTCCATTGTCACCCTACGACAAATCACTAATTGCTTCTCGTCCATAGGGAGACTATTGCCGCACCACGAACGAGGCCGAAGTGTTTTACAACGATTTATCCGTCCCTGAGCAGAGAAAGTGGATCACAACCATGACGCATATGCCAGTTGCTGTGTTCAAGTCTAAGTCAACATATGAACCATGGCATGTCATACCCTGCATGTACATTTTCTGCACCAAGGATAACGCGATTCCTCCGGTCTTGCAAACCGCCATGGCCAGTCAAATGGGCAGCATTACTACATATGAAATCGTATCATCACATTCGCCATTTCTAAGCTCGCCGGATGAAGTAGTTGGAGGAATTGAGTTGGCGGCTAGGACTGGTGAAGAGAAGAAGAATTTAATGTAAATTACAGTAAAGTTCGAGGCTCGCTCATCTGTTCAGGGACAATAGTAAGCTATCAACGATTACCTGCTCCGAAAATCCCTACCGGGATATAATAGAGATAAATGAATTAAGTATGCCGGGCATGTGTTGTGGCAGCTATCGTGTCCGCAATGGCAGTAAACAGCCCGTGATCGTAAATCTGGGTAGATTGAGGTTCTGTGCCTCACTCGCTTGTCTGCCTGACTCGCTCACCATGTACCTTAGTATAGTTTAGTAGAGTAAAATTGGCCAGTATATTTGTATTAAGTTGGCTAAATAGGTCACGAATCAAAGGGTACACTTCGAGCAGTTTTGAGAAGTTTAGCAACAGAAGCCAGGAAATGGGTAGACGTGCTGCTAGAAACCTCTCCGTCCCTTCCCTGGGCTATATCGGAAGGCAGGATTTCAATTGAGAATGTAGAACATCTTATTTCTTAGCTATCAGAAGGGCCGCGATCAGGTATTTATTTCTAGATATGTGGATAGCTTCCTTTCGGAGCTGCAGAGATTAACTTTGCGGTTCCTATTTCTAAGTTTGCGGCTTTAAAGCTATAGAATTTATCATCGGAATCCTATGTTATGTCCTAGGCAGGCTAGATGTTTGCTGGAGTGTGACAGGCTACATCAGGGCGTCAGTGTTCCGCCGACAGCCAAAACTCCAGCAGTAGCAGCCTCAATATCCTGCTCGCCAGATCCACCGCAGACGCCGATGGCGCCAAAGAAAGTGCCGTTGATAAATATAGGCACGCCGCCTGCAACAGGCAACATGCCGCCGTTCGTATGCTCGAGGCCGTATTCCCCACTCCCAGGCTGGACCAGAGGTCCCAACTCACCAGAGGTGATGGCTCCGTTGAAGAGGCTGACCGTGCGGGCCTTTCTGACGCAAGTGTCAAAGCTCTCGAGAAATGCATTATCCATACGTAGGACAGCGATGGGATAGCCGTAGGGGTCGGCCACGACGATGGAAGAGGGGAAGGCGCTAGAGTGAAGTTATCTATCAGCATAGGCTTATAATACAAGGTTATAGAGTGCGGTAGTACTTCTCCATCTCAGCTAATTTGGCAGATGTAGCCTCGACGGCTATCAATGCTTGACGTGCATTGAGAACAAAGCGCTCGTTAGGAGCCTTCAGAGTATTCGTTATGATAGCGAAGGCAGAGTTGGGGAGAAATGCGGCTCCAAGGCCTGCAGCTAGTGCCCAGGCGCTCTTCATGGCGATACGGATGATGGAAGATTTTTTATATGATTGATAATTGAATGGGAGGTGTGCGAGTGTTGGGAAGAGATAATTATACTAGATGAGAGGGCGGTTATGAATATTATATTATATACTCGTTCAACCCACGATACGGGAGCCATTGAGGAGTTGCGGGAACGCTTTGGAAGATTTGCTCCTTTCCGCCATATTCCCCTGATACCCGGGCAACGTCCCCTTGGGTCAACTCAAATCCAATTAGAAATCAAAGCCAGTCTTGTTGCCAGCGACAAGTCGTTAGCCAGGGATTGTCCTGGCCGTCGACGCGCGTTTCTCTGTTCGCCATCCTTGCTAGCCTCGAATGTTAAAGCTGTAGGCAAATTGACGGGTGAGGCTTCCTTGGCATGTCGAATTACGAGTTTCGCGACACAAACATGCATAAGCTGGGTAGTAAGGCTACGCGACATTTCAAGGAAGGACTCTGGCGTTTGACTCGGACGGTGACAACACAGTGCGGCGGTTATGGATGCACGGTAACCCGCGCGGCTGACCCGCTTTGGAAACCGAAACCGAACTTAGCAAGTCTTCGAAAATAGCCTCATGAATTGAGGGGGGTGTACTCCGTTCCGTCGGATGTGTCCTGTTCAGCGAGAAGAAACGATGCTGGGTGCCCCTCGTACGGAAGTTGACTGGCGTGACAAAATATCTCGCTTCCCTACAGCAGAACCTCTGCCTTCTCCGCCACACTATACAGTTACTCTCTTGTCTATAGCATCGGTCAGCAACGATCTGGGAAAGCAGCCACTGGGAAGTTCTATCCTCGCCGACTGTGCAGCTCACCAATTATCCACAAAGAAAGGCGTCCATCATGCCACATCAGCCCTCCCGGGGAGGATCCACTCGGGAAGGACGCAAGCTAACGCACAGCGTGTCTTAACTTGGTTCTAGCCATCGGATTACCATAGAGCTTACAAACCACATCGAAGCTCATTCGTCGCGCCGGAGCCATTAGCAGGGGTCATCTCTCAGGACGCCGTGTGGGGTATTCAATTACCACATTCGCGCGCGGTTCTGAACCTCATGCATCGGCAGTCACAAGGAGAAAATGAGACACTAGTAAGGTTTGCACCATTTAAGAAGCAAAATACGGGTGCTGTCCAATATGTCAGATTCAATGAATCTCCCAGTATTTGATACCCCAGGGCTCACCCACGTCCAGAGAGAGAGATCCAAGCGGCATTCTACAGGACTCCTGGGAGCGTAGGACGAACAGCATCTTGACATTTCCGATCCCAGACTCCACCATTCACCATGCCACGTGCCTCAGTGATCTGTATATCACATGGAGGAGGTATGTTTTCAATGCCCCATGTCAAATCAACGACCAAGACGGTGCACTAATCATGATTTTCTAGGCCCCCTTCCTGTCATCGGCGGACCGGGCCATGAAGACATCGTTCATTCCCTAAAAACCCGAGTCCCCAAGATCCTCAAGCTTGGTACCCCCGAGGCACCGCGCGCCATCATTTGCGTGACGGCCCATTGGTCCGAGAATCAACCTACCATCTCCTCCGCTGATTATCATGACCTCTACTATGACTACGGCGGCCTCCCAAATGAAGCCTACAGACTGAAGTATAATGCTCCGGGATCGTCTGCAATCGCACATGATGTCAAGAAGGTTCTTATGGAAGAAGGACTGGCGCCTGTTCTCGATAGAAGCCGAGGTGAGTGGATATTATGTCCTGATACAGCTCGTGCGACTGCAAGCTACACGAGGACGAAGGGACCGATTGACCATGAGAAACTGACGAGTGGGCTATGGTAGGTTGGGATCATGGTGTCTTCATCCCCTTCATGCTTATCAATCCCGCTGCGGACATCCCTATCATTCAGCTGTCCATCCTTGCGTCCGAAGACGCTACAGAACATCTCCGTCTGGGCCGCGCCCTTTCGAAGCTTCGCGATTCCAACATTGCAATACTAGGCTCTGGCTTCGCATCTATCCACAACAATATAGTTGTGGTTCCGTTAATGGTGCGCGATCGTAGGGCACCTGTGAACCTGGTCAAGAGCGTCCGCGAATGGAATGTGGAGCTGACAGCTGCGGTGACGAAGGAGAAGAGGCAAGACAGGGCAAAAGCACTGGAGGGGTGGAGAAGCTTCATTCACAGTTATGATATGCATCCACCTAGCGGTGCTGATCACTTCATGCCTTTGCTGGTTTGTGCGGGTGCGGCGGATGACGAGGTAGCTGGGATGTATAAGGATGATTTTCTCGGATTGGACATTTGGACATATTATTGGGGTGATGTCCGTATATAAAGAGAAGTTAGGATATACTTATTTCGCCAGGAGGGAAATCCCTATAAGTATTGCTATTGGGGCTGTATTATTATATAACTGTATAATTTTCTAACTGCACTTAGCTAATACTCCCCACTATTCCAAATTTACAGTATAAATTAGAGAATACAATAAATATTTACTAAAGTTATATATTATAATAGCTTGTAAAGCCGGCTATAAGGCTAGTAAAGGCTAAATTATTTAAAAAAAATATATCTATAGGATTTCCCTATAAATAGTATTTCTATTAATCTGACTATTATTCTGCTGCTAGTATATATAACAGTTGTGTCTTATAGTCTGCTGTAGATGTAGTCTAGGGTAGGTAAAAGATTGGTTGCTAGTGGATAAACTGTAAGTTTATATTAGCAGAGCAATTAGGGCGTTACTTATAGAGTAAATATTATGTCTGGTGATAGTTAAGTATAGTAATATATAGTGAGTTAAAGTAATTGAGGTAACTAAGTTGTATTAATAGCTAGGTAGCTGCTTATAGTAAATATATGCTACTTGGTTATTTATATATTTAATATAATTGGGTATAATTATTTATATAGTAATTATAATTATGGGTAATTAGAGGTAATTATAGAGTAATTATTATAATTGTAATTACTAATATTTAAGGGTAATTATAAAGGTTAAATTATATTTTATTTTAAGAGGCTAAGAAAAGTAAAGTTATATTTAAAGCTTAATATAAATTATAGCTAGATTATAATATAAATTAATAATAAGATAAATTTTAAATAGCTTAAGTATTTTAATTAATATATAAAAGCTTAATTAATTAAAAAAAAAATTTAATTTTTAATAAGTATAAAAATTACTATTTAATTAATTTTAAGAAATATTATAACGTACATGATAAGCGAGTGAGATAGACAAGTGAGTGAGACACCTCCAAATCCCTTACAAAATGCCGTTTTCGACCCCCTTGCAAAAACCATCAGTTTTTAATCAAACTTAATAACAATTGTCTGTTTATTTTACTTTAATGGAGTAACCCCCTGATATTTTTCTGAGATTTTAAATAATTTTATTTAAGGAGATATTGTAATTCTTCGTTTATAAGAATACCTTATACTGAAGTTTTAGAATAACTTCTCAAAAATAATTTTGTAAAATCTCAGAAAAATACTACTCTATCACTGTACCATAGGAAACATACAAGTAATTTTTAATTAAGTTTGATTAAAAACTGATGGTTTTTGCAAGGGGGTTGAAAACGGCATTTTGTATGGGATTTGGAGGTGTCTTACTTACTTGTCTGTCTCACTCGCTTATCATGTACGTTAAAGTAAATTATATTATTATATTTTATTATTTATTTTATTTATTTTATTTATTTTATTTATTTTATTTATTTTATTTATTTTATTTATTTTATTTATTTTATTTATTTTATTTATTTTATTTATTTTATTTATTTTATTTATTTTATTTATTTTATTTATTTTATTTATTTTATTTATTTTATTTATTTTATTTATTTTATTTATTTTATTTATTTTATTTATTTTATTTATTTTATTTATTTTATTTATTTTATTTATTTTATTTATTTTATTTATTTTATTTATTTTATTTATTTTATTTATTTTATTTATTTTATTTATTTTATTTATTTTATTTATTTTATTTATTTTATTTATTTTATTTATTTTATTTATTTTATTTATTTTATTTATTTTATTTATTTTATTTATTTTATTTATTTATTTATTTATTTATTTTATTTATTTTATTTATTTTATTTATTTATTTATTTTATTTATTTTATTTATTTTATTTATTTTATTTATTTTATTTATTTTATTTATTTTATTTATTTTATTTATTTTATTTATTTTATTTATTTATTTATTTTATTTATTTTATTTATTTATTTATTTATTTATTTTATTTATTTTATTTATTTTATTTATTTTATTTATTTTATTTATTTTATTTATTTTATTTATTTTATTTATTTTATTTATTTTATTTATTTATTTATTTATTTATTTTATTTATTTTATTTATTTTAAGCTATTTAAAAATATATATAATTAAGAAATTAAATAATTAATTAAATACTTAATTACTTATATTTTAAAACTAACTTTCTTTTAGCTTTTTATATTATTTACTAAGCTATTATAATAAAAATAATATTAAAGAAGTTTTTAAAAACTAAGCTTATTTTTTTTAAACTTAAAAAGTATTATATTAAAGCTTAATATATAATTATAAACTTTAATATCTATTAAAAAAAAGCTAGCTTTTTTAACTTTTAAATACTTAAAATATAAAAAATTATTCTTAAGTTACTTTTTAATTTAAATATCTTAAAAAATAAATTAAAAAATATTAAAATAGCTTTTTAATATCTATTATTAATATATTTAAGTTATTTTTTAAGAGAATAAAAATAATAATATATTAAATAATATTATTAAAATTTAAAAATTAGAGTTTTTAATAAATTAATAAAACTTTTAATAAGTAATATACAGTAAAAAAAACTATTTATAAAATAAAAATAAAATAATTATTTAGTTTTTTTATAATCTTACTTAATATTATTAAATAAATTAAAGTTATATAGTAATTTTAAATAGTAAAAATAAATAATAAAAGCTATATTTAATATTAAAAAAATAGTAGCTAAATAATAAGATTATTACTTATTAATTTCTATTTAAAGCTTCTATTTAATTCTTTTAATTTTAGCTTTATTATTTATAGTTAATAACCTTATTATTTATAGTTAATAACCTTATTATTTATAGTTAATAACCTTAAAATAGTAATTTTATTCTAAGTAATAAAATATAAAAAAGACTAATATCTCTTATTATTAAAAGATTAATTTTCCTTTTAATACTTATTTTATTATAACTAATTTTTAATATAGTAAATTTTATTTAAATAGCTCTTTTTAGAGATAACCTATTATATTTATATTATAGATTCTAATTCTAATATAATCTCAGATTCTCTTAGAATCTAGAAGATAAATTAAAAAGATAGAAGCTAAATTTCCTCTTAAGCTTTTTAAAAAAGAAAATCTATTTAAGCTATTACTATACTATTTGCAATATTCAAATAGAAGCTAATAAATTATATTAGCTATTTTTAGATGCTATTTACTTCTTAATAATAGGACTAGAGTTAATAGGTAAGAAAATTAAATTCTTATCTACAATCTTATTTTATATATTTAAATAGAAATAGCTATACTTTATAACTTAGCTAAAAATATTAATAATTCTAATTTAAGGGGTTAAGTCTTTCTTTAGGATATTATTAGGGCCTAATATAACTTCTAGTTCTAGAAGCTATTATATTATATTAGGTTGGTATAAATACTAGCTATATAGAGTAAGAGGGGGGATTTAAATAACTTGGGTTATTATGGGTGTTAAGAATTTCGGGGCATTCTAGAGGTTGGGTATTTATTAAGGTTAAAGTTAAAAAAGTTAGATAGAATTTTAATAAAGAAGAAAAAAGCAGCTTAAAACTTAAAACTTAGGCCTTAGTAACTATAATATATATATAATAAAAATGCAGTAAATTTAAATACTAAGTTTCCTTATTAAGGGATTATATTTAAGTATATATTATACTTTTTCTAATTTTTTAAAATTAAAACTTTAATAAAAATATAATAAATTATTTAATTAATTAAAATTAATTATTATACTTTTTTTAAAAAATCTTAATTATAATTTAATAAGTTTTTATATTATAATATACTTAATAAGTAAATTAATTAAATAAGTAAGTTAATTAAATATTTTATTTTTTATTTTTAAATTATTATAAAATTATAATAAAATCTTAAATTAATTAAAATTAATTACTATACTTCTTTTTAAAAGTTTTAATAATAATTTAATAAATTCTTGTATTATAATTAGCCTTTTATAAGTTTTATAATATCTTTCTCTTAATATTACTAATTTTATCTAACTACTACTTTTTAATAATTTAGCTATTATTTATATATTAATATTTCTTTAATTTATTTCTTTTTTTATTTAAAGTTATTTTCTCTTTTTTATATAAGTAAATTTTTCTTATTTTATATTACTTACTAAAAGTTTTATTTATTTATTAAAAAATTTAATTTTTAAACTTTAATAATACTATTTAATATATTATTATTTTTATTTTCTTAAAAAGTAACTTAAGTATATTAAAAATAGATATTAAAAAGCTATTTTAATATTTTTTAATTTATTTTTTAAGATATTTAAATTATAAGCTAACTTTAAGTATAATCTTTAGAATTTTTAAAATTTAAATATTAAAAAAGCTAGCTTTTTAATAATTAATATTAGAGTTTATAATTATATTCTCTATAAGCTTAAATTAAATATAAATTATTATTAGATTTTTATATTTAGCTTTTTAATAATTATATTTATATAAAAAATATATCTTAAGCTTTAAATATTATCTAATAAAGTTTAAAGCTTAGTACTTATTAATAGATAATATATTATAATTAATAAGTAATTAATTAGCTATTTTTTTAATATTATATAATTATTAAGAAAATTCTTATAAATTTAAGTTAAGAATAAATTAAATAATAAGTTACTTTTTTAAATTAATTAGTTAATATAATTAGAGAATTTAATTATATTAAAATTAAATACTATTTTATTAATAATATAGTTTTTACTTATTTATTTTATATATTAATATAGTATATTAAATATTTAATTTTAAGTTATTTTAAAAAGCTTAAAAAGTAAGAAAAGTTCTAACTTTAATATTTTACTATAGTATATTTTATAGTTAAAATTAAATTAATAATATAGAGAGTTATATATTTAAGGGAAAAGTATAATATATATTTAGATATAGTATATACTTATTAATATATTATTTTATTTTTTAATTTAATAGTATTTTAAATTAAATTAAGAAAGAATTTATTAAATATATAAAAAGTATATTTAAAATAGTACTTTAAAATTATATTATTATAATAATAAACTGTAATTTAAATTTTATTAATATAAAAATCAGAAATTATATATTAAATTATTCTTAATAAGAAAACCTAGTATTTAAATTTACTGTATTTTTATTATATATATATTATAGTTATTAAAACCTAAGTTTAAGTTTTAAGTTACTTTTTTCTTTTTATTAAAATTCTATTTAACTTTTTTAACTTATTCTAACCTTAATAAATATACTAATAATTTCTATAACCTAATCTTTGAAATATCTTAAAATTTAAGTTATTTAAATCCCCCTCTAATTAGTATTTTAAATAGCTAATATCTATATTAGCCTGATATAATATAATAACTTCTTAAATTAGAAGTTATATTAAGCTTAATAATATTTTAAAAAAAAATTAACTTTTTAAATTAAAATTATTAAAATTTTTAGCTAAATTATAAAATATAATTATTTTTATTTAAATATATAAAATAAAATTATAATTTTTTTTTTAATTTTCTTATTTATTAATTTTAATTTTATTATTAAAAATTAAATAATATTTAAAAATAGCTAATATAATTTATTAACTTTTATTTAAATATTATAAATAATATAGTAATAATTTAAATAGATTTTCTTTTTTAAAAAAGCTTAAAAGAAAATTTAGCTTTTATTTTTCTAATTTATCTTTTATATTCTAAGAGAATTTAAAATTATATTAAAGTTAGAATCTATAATATAGATATAATAGATTATCTCTAAAAAGAGCTACTTAAGTAAAATTTACTATATTAAAAATTAGTTATAATAAAATAAGTATTAAAAGGGAAGTTAATCTCTTAATAATAGAAGATAGTTAGTCTCTTTTATATTCTATAGCTTGAAATAAAATTACTATCTTAAGGTTATTAACTATAAATAGTAGGATTAAAGTTAGAGAGGTTAAATAAAAGCTTTAAGTAAAGACTAATAGGTAATAACCTTATTATTTAGCTACTATTTCTTCTAGTGTTAGGTATAGTATTTATTATTTATTTCTACTATTTGAGATTACTATATAGCTTTAATCTATCTAATAATATTAAGTAAAGCTAAAAAAAACTAAATATATTTAATTTTAGTTATAAAAGTTAGTATATAGAAAATTAATATTTTTAGTATTTTAAAATAATATTAATAAATATCTTTATTAAAAACTCCTTACTTTATTATTTTAGTAGGTATTATTAAATATAGTTAGCTTTTAGGATATTATTTAATATTTTAATTTAAATATCTATAACTGCCTTAACTAGAGCAAGCTAATATTTTAATAGATATAAGAAAATAAGGCTGCTACTGCTAATAAGTTTAAATGGAAACTTTGCCCGAATCCGGCTCGACCTTAGAGGCTCAGGCCTGATATAGAATCTTCTACCTTTACAGGCAAAAACGAGTTTTATTGCTAAGACCGATACGCAGGATTCAGTCACAACTACCATCTTAACGCGGTATCTTTATCGTGGGACTGGGAGTTTGAAAAATACCCCGAGAATAATAAACTTATAGTCTTTACACAGACAAGGCGGTGCTGGGCTGATTCTCCCCATAGCGGTGGGTGGTCTTATCTCATCAATTATTGTCTTCGTGACTTGGAGCGAGATAGAGAGATGCGCGGCATCACATGGTGTCCCCGGTCGAGCTGTCGCTTCAGATTACGATATGACATAACATGCTTGATCCGAAGGACCGTGTCCCACTATAGGACTATCTAGACATAGCTTGCACCGCATGTGCGTATGCTGCAATAGCAAAGTACTTACATCCCACTGTTTAAGATGAACTGATATATTATGAGGTGACTTTTATATTTCACTGTTCATAATACCGAGAGTATCTGGAATGCTGGACAGCGTACACCTGAAGTCGCCCAGTGCAAGCTGCAGTAAGGTAGAGCTATACATCTGCTTTAAGGTTCTCTAGTGTGTGTAGGCGTTGATACCACACTCCTTCCGCCCACCAATCACCCTGTCGTTACCCTAACTTCTTCTTACTCTTACAGCCCCTGGCCCAATTTCTCCTCTACTGATGTTGCTTGCGATAATAACAGCGTATACCAACTTGCTTGGGGATAGTATATTTGTATATCTGTATATAGTGGTCTTTTTTGCAGTTTGTTGTCGGCGGTTTTAATCCAACCAGAAATAGCTAGTATTACAGAAGCCTGCGTTATCTGCAAAAGACTGCCTGGATAAGTCTATTGCAAGTCGACAATTTCAGTCAGCTGAAATATGCTTATCAGGAAGTCCCTAAAGGAGGCTCCTGCTATCTGTTTGTTGCTACTACTGATAAGGACGATAATTGTATGTCACCAGGAGCCGGATCAGCTGTTACAGAGTCTAGACGCAGCTGATTTAGTATATCATAATCATATATCTTTAACTGAAGAGATATACCGTTACTGCATCAATAAGAGACAACTACCTTCAAGTAATTTAAAAATCCCAATTTTTATGAAGACGAGATGGGTTTCTTTGACATCGTCAAAATAAAAGCAGCAAGTGCCGCCTCAGGCTGATATGCCGGAACCTCGTGGCCAGCCCCGTAAACTCGAAGCCAACTCAGATTTCCAGAGGTCTTATATTCACCATATTTCGTTCCATTAACCGTGTATGGCTTGAGAGGAGCAGAGACGAATGCCGGTTTAGCAATGGAGTTGAGTACTCGGTAATTACCCATCCAGTTGCAGATCCAATCTATATTGTGTCAGACGAGGTTCGAGGTTTGAAGAACAAGACTTGGATTGACATACCGGCGTCACCAGCCCAGATCAGGACGGTAATATTGGAATCGATAACTTGAGACAACGTGTGTAAGAATGACCTTCCCCCTATAATAGTTTGGTCAATTACAATCCTGCATCCCGGAGTTTCCTGTTAAAACGTACGATCACCGCTTGCCATAAACTTGTTGTATGGTGCGGATGGACATTCTCCGTAGGTTGACTGAGCGCCAATAGCCTTCATCACGGCCGAGGTCTGAAGATATGTAGCGTATGTTTCAGGTGGAAAGGCATCGTCACTGGAGGCTCGAATGTCGTATACATCAAAGTCTGCCAACGCCTCCAGTGGGCTTTCAATGGCTGAGTAACAGACGTCATCGGCGTTGCCACATGCGTCGTCGTTACCTGTGAGACCTGGACATTTGGCGAAAGCCGGCACACACTTAGCCTGGTAGGTGGATAGATATGTGCTGTACTGCTTTGGTGTGATAAGCTTCCGGTACGTGTTGTTGGCGGCGTAGTCGATATAGTCCTTGTATTGGTCGCCTAATTGTCCACATTAGCACTGTGTCGGCATGGCAAAAGACCAAGTACTTCACGTATCTGCCGAACTAACTTACCAGGGTCAATCCATCCATTATTGATACCAAGGGCAATAAGGTTGATCTTCTCGCCTTGGATCGTTCCGGCGTCAATGGCGGCATTCTGTTGCTCAAAATAAAAGGCAAACTCAGGTCCGTAATGGCCACCATACGACTCAGTGAAGAGACCGAAATCACGGTTCTCGTATTCAGGGAACTGAGCGTAAAAGGCTTGAAGGAGATTCCAGACCCTAGGGGCCGCGGCGAGGGTTGAAACGGCATCATCCGTACCGTAGCTGAAGCCGGTACCAATCGGTTGATCAACATAAAGCTTCATAAATTAGTTTGATATGCGTCTTGGAGGAAAACATGTACTATACCATGTTGGCAAAGGTGTTCCATGAATAAGGGTTCAGGGTTGGCTCCGACCCTCCCTTGTTGAAGGTACATGGTCCGTTTTCCTGAAACAGGCCGATCATAGAGCTACATCCAGGTCCGCCATTGAGCCACAGGGCTAGTGGAGCTGTCTTTGCGTTATTGCGGGACTCGAAGAACCAAAAGAACATGTTCATGTTGGTTCCTTTGAACACCTGTTAGTATTGTGACGGGGGTCCTGCAACAGTCTGGAGAAGTACTCACCGACAGACAAGTAACCCGAGTGCTGGTTCACACCGGGTGTCGTCTCGCATATGCCAGAGTTGGACACGATCTTGGTCTTGGATCCAGTAGCAGCATGCTCGAATACCTTGTACTTGATCCCATTGTCTTCAAGAGTGTACCTCTTGTCCAGGGTAGCCACAGGTGAAGACTCGCCATGCCCGATAAGGGTAAGTGCGGTCAAGATATTAAGCAATGATGCCCTCATTTTGGCTCGCAGAATCAAGAGAACTGCTACAAGTAGTGGCGATTGATACAAGAGAAGAATAGATGCCAAGACGGGAGGATTGATCCCCAGGTTATATATGCCGACACATGGACCGGAACGCAAATTCACCCCTCTTTTTATCCCACCTTGAACTTTCATCTCAGGATCACGGTTCAGCCTCTGACGTAATGTCTTCTGGAATATCGAGAATACTGATTTCGTATGGCTCTCGAGTCCGCCTTGTTGTTATCAGGCAATCGGTAAACCATGACACCTTCCTAATTAAAGTCGGAGTTCTTTTGCAGTTGCAAAGGTCCCTCAGGCGGCTGGCTCTCTCTCAACCAAGCTCAAAATTGGGGTAGGGTGGGGCACTCGCTGAAACATCCCTTGAAGATCCTGGGGCTACGCTGGCTTATCAGTCGTTGAAACGAGTACCGCACCTTGGCATCATGCTGACTATGACGGGATATGTGAGTGAGTTTTAGAAATGATATTGCATTCAATCTTCAATATTTAATCTTCAATAGGTCAATCGTGGCGTCTGGAAGTAGCCCCTAAAGCTTCCGCCACAGCCGAAAGCTCAAAGTACCTTGCAGCATCACTGGATAATGGATTGGTGGATCGCATGATGATCCTTGCTCTCATGTGATTAAAGCCAGCATCTACGACCAGTATGCCTTTTGTTATCGGCATTATCTTAACAACCCAGCCAGCTTTTTAGCAGTTTAAGAGAAGCTCGTCCAGTCAAGCGTTGAACCCCGACCTTCCAGAATAAGCGTTCTGCCCGTGGGGCCACGGCATTTTTGAGCCGTAGGATGGTGATATGCGTCTTAGTCTCGTATTCTAGTGGGCTTCGGCACTCAAGGTTGATCCCTACCCCTGTCGTCTGTTTGCCGAACATCCGACAGCACCTTGGTTAACGAGCTTATCGCAGGTCCATCTTTGATGTCTAACATCTCATCAGTTACCACCTTGACGGAAAGAGTGTTTTTGAATTTGAAGGTGAATATCGGATTTGGAACTGACCAAGCTGCGTCGCTTTCTCCTGTGAAACTAGGACTTGCGCGTGTTCTTCTCGTAAAGACTGACGCTACCGGGATTCCCGTCGGCATGTCATGCTGGAATATCGCGTTGAGCATTGGACATCCTCCGAGACGAAGGAACCGGCGTTGATGCTTTGAATCACCTAGTTCCGATCAAAGATGCAGAGGCTGCATTGGCTGATGAATTCAGCGCGACCAGCTATGTGGGCCTGGGATAATCAACTTGTTCGAGAAAGACCATGATATGCGTGGGAGTTTGACAAACTTATAGATAGTCGCATTCAAGAGCCAGAAGACTTTGAAAACGAGGATTTCCAAGCTATTACCACCAGGGCTCATTTGGGGGATATATAGCAGGCGGAATCGTATTTGCAGTGGACGTTTTATTCGTGGATATTACGCAGAGAAATTGGTGGTAACAGAAGGCACCTACTGTGTCGCTGCCATCGTCTCTTCTTGGACCTCGATAGTAACATCGGGAGAAAGAGGCTCATTTGATGGAATACTGTCCATCCCGATAAAGATGCGGTCGCTGGAAGTTGTCATGTTCGTGATGAACAATCACTCATCAGTAGTAATGATGATGGAGGAGTTACGTATCGTGCTTGGGCGTGCTCCTGCAATCATGATAAGACTATAAGAGTTTAGGAAGAGGATTCGGTAGGCCCGTATCAATAACAAGGAGGTCTCTGAGGTGGTGAGCCAAGTCTCAATGTTGAGGTAATCGACCTTGACCTAGACCTATGTCAAGCGCCAGGGCCAACTGTAGGTGTAATTGAGGCCTAAATTCAAAAGTCTCCTCTCAGTTGATCCTCATGCCTTGATCCTCGTGCATCGAATCATCAAGCTGCGTGATAGTAACAACATGGCGGACGATGTCACTAATCCAGTCCAACCCAACATACAGAGGCCAGTAGGCTCTCGTTACTTTGATGAGGATATTGAGTCGGTGATGTTTGAGACTCGATATCAGATCGCGATCGTTTTGCTTGGATGTGGATAGTTTGACATAAATAGAGAGAGATATACGATCACATTGAGCATGAGCGGGGATATATCACTGGAGAGAAGGGGGAAACATACTGGAGCATGAACGAAATTCGTTGTCAATTAAAAAGCAGGCTATTGAATTAAGGCAAATCCCGGCACCAAAAAACGCCCCCAGCCATCTATCCACATCCGTATCCCCGTTTACTTACAGAGGGCTCTTTTAAAAGCCTTATCCAAGCGCCAGTAATATTATATCTATTTATCTCTATTAGTTACCTGAAATATATAAGGCTGTTACAGTCTTATTAAATAGCTGCTGTAACTTTAGGAGTAGTACGCTGCTAATTAGGATATAGCGGTTGCCGTATACTGTAGCCTGCTATCCTTTAGGGCTTATAGAAATCAGGAAGTAATTAGCGTACTTATTATCTAACCTAATAATTAGGACTTACTTCTTATGGACAAGACTTTTAAAAGGGCCCTCCGTATCATAAGATAAAGATACAAGCACAAAAAAGACCCCTTGATCGTCGTCCTCATTCATACCAGTTCTTCAGCGCAACGTCAAATTATTCAAGGGGGACGGCCAACCCCACGGTACCAGTGGTCTTGTCCTTGCCCTTACCCTGGGTAGGGATAGGGGTCCTGCCAGGCTGGAATCGTTGGACAGGGGGGCGGTGGCTGGGCGGCCTGGCAGTGGATTGACCCTACCACGGGCCCGGCACTCAGATGTTCGGCCATGATGGTGTCGTCTTCCTGTCTGTGTCAGTATATGGTGTAGGCGGAGAGACGGAGAACGTGGGATACAAACAGAGCAGCAAGCAACGCAAAATAAGCGGGAGACAAGAGGCTGGGAGAGTATACAGTCGAGAAAAAACCGGCGACGCGCGGCAGCAAAGGTCGGACGGGACAGGACAAGACTGGACAGGGCGCGACGGGGCGAGAAGAGGGTGTTTCGTTCTCGTTGGGGTGGAGAAGGGAAGAGAGGAGAGCGAAGACAGAATCTACGGGAATGACATTGAGTGGTGCGTGCTGGCATTGGTGTATTATCTTGCTTGGGAAGGTGCAAGTGAGGGTATTCGCAGCCGGACCGTGAAGTCAGCGCAGCTTGCAACAGCAGACTGTGCCGGCAAGTTCGAGTTGCTGGAATCCTTTCAAGGCCAGGACAGGGGACAAAGGTCTCGTCAGAGGAGACTACGAGATGATGGATCGCGTTTTTCCCAATCGCGTAGAGAGCGTGGAAGAGTGGAAGCGAAAGGTCGGCTATTCTGGGTGCCGCGACCAGTACTCAAGGACTGGGTGGATAGAGGAATCGCAGTTCTGATCTGACTTCTATGTACGTTCTTCTCGAATGAAACCCTTGACTAGTAAATGGCGCCTCGATCAACCTAGTTTCTTATATTACGCAATACTCGGAGCGGGTTCGTGCTACTCAGATACGGGTTGGCAGGGTAGAGCAACGATGGTTTCGTAGTTATTCAGCTCCCCCTATTTCTCCTGAAGGATATGGGGCCAGTGAAACATCGTACACGTAGGGGGTGATACCAGCCAACGGAGTTGAGAAACTACATAAGTTAAGCATTCACCTGGGCAATGCTTTCCCTAACGGCATAAAGTGAATCTAGCTTGCAGCAAGTCGCCGCCTTCTTTTCTTAGATGAAGCTATCGCAAATGCACACAGTTTAATGCGACTATACATTGTGCTTGGTCAGTAGTTCCCTGCTACCGACATCACGCATGGTATTACCAAACGGGACTCCCAGGACTCCCACCATGCAGCCTTCAACATATTTCCACCTGCCCAGTTGAAATAGGCTCGGTTGAGAAACTTCAGGACCTGATACCGGAAAAACACTAGGGCAAAGAAATCTCACGCACGCCTCGCAAGAGAGCACCCGCTGTGCAAGCCATATTTGTATTGCCAATCGGCGGATGGCGGCCAGTCGTTTGTCCCTTCCAACCAGCCCAACCAGGAGCCACACGACAACGGGCTCGACACAACCGTTGTTGAACAGGACGATGGACTGATCCTAGATAGCCAAGGTACTTGAAGTACTCGAGAGACTCCTGTCTTGAGAACAGAAGAGACGTAACTCACGCGCATGGACGGTATGTTGGCCTACAATTCAAAAACATGCACCAACCTTGCTGACCACAACGATGGACAGCTTCGCAAAATGGTTTGCGGTCTGAAAATCCGACGACAAATCCACTAGCTCCACCGACGATCCCTGTCGATGATGGACATCCCGCGAGCTACTAAACAGCGTCCGACACCGAGAGCGTTTACTTCTGCCACCCTTTCATCACCCTCGCCAATATCCACGCCATCTCTCTTCAAGACTTTGCCTTTCTCGAGGAGCAAGGCTGTTTTCGAGTCCCAAAAAACCATTACTAGATGGAGATCGTCGAATACCACAAGGACCTTGTCCAACGAGATCTTGCCCGGTGGTTGTCAAACTCAGCTGTCAGTTGTACTGCGCCCATTGGTGTTGATGAACGCACTGTGGACACCTTTGAAGGCACGGTTTAGGTCCATCACGTCCAAACAGTCACCGACGCAAAGCGAGATGTTGGGCAGCGATGCAATCTCCTTGGCAGGGTGTGACTCTGCCGAGCGTGTCATGGTTTGGACTGCGTAACGGCCCGACTGAGCGAGGGCATGAACGACCGGCATGCCCTGCGCACCCATAGCGCCAACGATGAGAATCGTCCTAAGCGAAGACATGTTGGAAAATTTTCGGATCTAGTGATGGGAGATGGGAAGAAAGGCTCGATGTTGCTGAACTCGAGACTCAATCCAATTCTTCTCGGCCCAACATGGCACCGTGTCTACTATTTGCGATACCACATTCTAGTTGTCCTCGACCGCCGTATCTTGTTCTGAAGCTGAAATACACCATACAACAGCGCCTCGGACGTCGGCGGACAACCGGGCACGTAAATGTCGACGGGTATAATCCGGTCCACGCCCTTGACGACACTGTAGCTGTAATGGTAGTACCCGCCACTATTTGCACAGCTGCCCATGCTGATTACCCACTTCGGATCGGGCATCTGGTCGTAGCACTGCCGAACCGCTGGGGCCATCTTATTCGTGACGGTGCCAGCAACAATCATGACATCGGCTTGGCGGGGAGAGGCGCGAAAGATGATTCCCAAGCGGTCTTGGTCGTATCGTGGCATCGAAGCGTGCATCATCTCGATACTGCAGCACGCGAGGCCAAACGACAGCGGCCACATGGAGCCATTCCTTGCCCAGTTGACAAGTTGGTCCATCCTGGTCCTGAATTATTGAAGACGATTTCGGTCAGAATTCTCGTCCTTGTTGGATTTGATCTGGCAGTATCAAGGGGTTCGTACAGAACATGTTCTACGAGGCTAGTTGGTTTAAGCTCTCGAGGTATGACTTGTGTGGTCGAACTTGTCTTCTCGCGCACCGCATCTGAGTAGGGCCGACGATCGCGAGGGCTGGAATGAACGATCGAGTTTGGGTACGAGATGAGTCGTGCGGCTACAAGGTGACGCACTGGTACAATCATTTTGGCTAAATATATCATGATTAGTGAGTGAGTGAGTGAGTGAGTGAGTGAGTGAGTGAGTGAGTGAGTGAGTGTGATGCTTGGGTGAGCGATGCCTTGTGGGTGTACTGACGATTCGTTGCCTTCGAGAGAAACATGGCTGGATACACTCCCACGCCCGACCTGAAAAACGCGAGGAATATAAGCCCCCAAACGTGATCCTGATATCCCTATTTATACGTTCTACACGAGCAGCCAGCAGGTGGAGATGGATATCGGGAAATTCACACATCGTCATCCCCCGTTTGTTTGGTTGCCCCACTGTGATGTCTTCTAGCGTCGGGAAAAACACTCATCGAATTTGACACTGTCTCGACTCATCCACTGCTCACGTCACCAGAGCCGATCCGAGACATGGCTTCACCGGAGGCTTCCGAGTGTCTGATCTGTCGACTTCCGTTTGCGCACGCCAATTCAATTGACCGGACCGCATGCCCTTTCTGCAACCGAACCTTTGGTCGGGTGGACGGCGCTCGACGGCACGCAAAGAACTGCCCAGCTAAGGGGAATCGCCCTCTGCCGCCAGAAGCGAGGCGCGGTAGGAAGTTACACGCCTGTGACGCATGTTCGCGTATCAAGGTCTCGTGCAATGCGAAGATACCGTGCCAGAGATGCTCCTCCCGAAATCTGGCTTGCTCCTACGCACGTCTTTGCACGGATCCAGCGCACTTACGGGGATCCGGCCAGAATAAAGACCGTCCACAACTCACCGGGACCTTCTCCGGGTTACGTTTCCTGCTTAACTGCACTGACCCAAGGGTGAATTTTGTCAACGATGTGCTGGTTGCTGGAGAACCGGAACGTGATCCAGCGACGCCAGCGGCCTGGGATCAGTGTTCCGTCAACAACGCAGGCCATGACACCATCGACCCGCAGCTTTTGTTTTTGAGCTTCATCGATCCATCTTTCGGCTTGGATTGCGATGGTATTTATGACACTGGATCTTTTGGAGATGTAGCCATAACGCTGCCTGCTACTCCAAACGACGGCCTCGCAGCACAAGTCTGTCTCTTGGAAGCCGACCTTCAGCAATTGATCGACAGCGAGTCAAACTTTCAGCACGTTACCTTCCAGGATTCTTTCAATGCGTTCTTTACTTGCACCAGTTTCCATAGGCTCATAACGTTCTTCTTCCGCAGGCAGCAGCTGCTAGCTAGGATGATACACTGGCCGACTTTCGACCCGAGCAAGGTAGACCCCGGTTTGCTCCTAGCAATCGCCCTATGTGGCCTGGCCTACTCCTATAAGTCGGCAGAGTCTTTGGAATTTGCTCCTGCCGTGGGGGTCATACAGAAACTGGCAGAGAAATATATCTTCAGACGGCTGAAGCAATGTCATGGTCGAGACCAATCTCGCCTAGCGCTTGAGGGGTGTCAAGCTGCGTACCTGATGATCATCCTCCAAATCGGCGTAAACGACGGTGACACTCGTCAAAGAGCTATTACTAAACGACAACCAGCACTCGTGGACGCTTTGAGAAGACTAGGCATGTTAAATAGCAAACCCTACTCGCCAACGCTGAAGACCGACTGGCATGCCTTTGCGTACCGAGAGTCATGCACCAGACTCGTGGCATGGGCTTTCTTCACCGATGGACTGCTGGCTCTTTTTTGCAATAGCCCACCGAATACGACGGTGTCGGAGATGTCTGGCGATCTCCCTTGCCGAGATGAGTTGTGGGATGCCGACTCTTCAACAAGCTTTGCAGCAGAGCAGAACGAAGGAGAACCGCTTTTGCAATCTCCATCCATGAAGGATATAGTGGCAGCTTTGTTAGATGACTATTGGGAGGATAACTCAACTGCTGCTTACCAAAGTCTGACCGTTTTCCATCTCTATGCTGCTATTGGAGGTGCGTATTGGACTGCCATCGAGTCACCCGAATGAGTTGTACTAACCCCCATTAAAATAGCATTTCAGTTTGTACTCTTCAACTACCGGGCTAATATGCTGCCAAGGAGTTTTGGTTCCGTTTTGTTGCGCGCGTTAAATCGGTGGGAGCGTCTGTGGTCCATTGCCATTAATCAGGTTGCTCCTGGCCAACAAGGCTGGCTTGGTGTTGCGAAGTATTCCCCGGAGTTTGCCTTGATATCAAGAAGGATTGTCGAAGTTTGCAACACGGAAGAAGGAAGGCGCTCGAAATACCTGCAATGTACTGCAGAGTATGATCTCCAAGTTTTTCACGAGTTCATGCTGCAGCATGGTTCGGCCAATACAGCTGCTACTACTAAACCGAGAGGCGCCTTGTAAATATTTTGATAGTTTAGTCTGGAATCATACTTTGGGAGTTTCACGAGCATCCACACTGCAAAACAAAACCCCGCCCCCCTGCTATATCCTACCTTATACAGAGGACCAATAGCCTTACCTACCTAATCGAGGATAGTTGGTCCCATATGAACCTTCCTCTGAATCGATTCAGACAATACTAAGATACCATTCAGTTTCCAGCCTGCCTATATTAGCAGGCGCTCAGTTTGTTCCCGGAACGAAATCCATTCATGCCCCTCGAGGCTGTCGACGTGCCGCATAAGGATCTCAAATTCACCGGCAATACCTACTGCTCAGTAGGATATTCGAGAGGCTCAAGGCCCTTGAGGATGCCTGAGCGATATATCTCACACTTGGCGATCTGATATTCTTGATTAGTATTTACTGGTGTGCGGTCGAGGGAGACTTGGTGCATAATAAAATCCCAATGCATAAGAATATCAAATAGCTGCTCAATGGGCGGTTATATATTACCCTCGGGTGCGTTAACGAGGTGGTTGAGATTCTTAAAGCCCTTATATTCCTCCTCTTCAGGTGAGTCTCAATAGTCGGGATATTCTATGTAAACTTGTTCAACCGCTGGAATAATTGCCAGCACAGCGCGGTTGTTCACCTCGGCGATATAGGCACACTACTTCTTAATAGCTGCCAGGACGGCTCATTCAGTGGGCTACCAGAAGGTTCAACCTTGCAATATGGCGTCCTTGGACTCAAACTGCCGTTCTGGTAAAACATCACCTTCCATCTGTGTTGTGTTCCAAGTAAATTGACGGTGTGCAGATACGGGATTTGTCCTCATATAAATCATGCGGACGATCTCGAGGCGTTCTTTCAGGTCTTCCATGGCGGTAGTATCGACATTCATGGAGTACTAGGTTTGATATACATTGCGGTTCCTGTAGCGTCAGTATGTTTGATCTTTTTGTTTATTCATCCTTGTTCCATTTCTTCTTCCAAGTTCTAGCCCACTATTCGAAGTCCCATTGACAAAACCTCATAGGCGATTGTGGCGACATCTGTTGCACGCCTGAATACGACACTGTCTGCACTCAAAAATGTAATTGGGAAGCCAGTCGTGGCATTCCTCACACTGGTGCCCGCCGCCACGATACGTCCAATTCCGATGGTAACACTCGTAGTTCTGAACCAAATTACGCATCTCTCGTCGTCGCCTTTCTTCTCGGGGCTGACCGGTCAAGTTTGCAGCATGGGGGTCTCGATCGATGATTGCATCGGCGCGAGCAATCAGCCTGTCTTCGCGAAAGTGCTCACAGCGGCACGTCTTCCACCTGCGTCCGCACTCGTAACAGAATTCGGCTTTGCACTTGCAAGCTGCGACATGAAAGTCAGCCACACTTACTTCTCAGAGCTGAACGAAGGAGGGGCGGATTTACTGATGTGATTGCAGCCGAGATTTAACTCCACAAGCCGATGACAGGAGTAGCATTGTCGCCAACTTTGCTGCTGGGCGAGTTCTGGAAGCTGCTGAGTAGTCTCGTCACTTGGACAGTCCTCGCCCTGATGCGCGGCAGCTTTGCAAGTCACACAAGTCGTCGCTTTGCAGTTGGGACATGTATCTTTGTCGGCGACAAAAATTGAACTGAGATAAATGTCGAGCAAGCAGGCCTGTAGCAATATGTACGGTTAGGAGTGTTCAACTCCTGCTCTTTGGCCCTGAACCTGCCAACAAGCCTCGGAGGGAGTAGAGGCTTGGCGAGATCAATTGGGATTGGTTGTCTGCAACAGCGTGGTGGAAAGAGAGACTCGCCGGTCAAGGCGTCGGTGTAGAGCCGGACGACGCAATCTTGACAGTACTTGTGATCGCAGGGTAGCTCGGTGATAAGATGGGCTGTGCGTTGTTCGGTGCAGACGTCACACTGACCCAGTTCCTGTTTTCTCGAGGCAGCCCATTGCGATGACTCTCCTGGCTCGTCACGCACGCTGAGAGCGAGCATTTTCTCAAACAACTCATTGTCCACGTGCGAAAGGGAACTCTGCATGGAGTTACTTCGCGAACGACCCAGCGTGTTATTAACACTTCCGCCGGCATGTACTCGCTATGCAGTGAGCCTATCCTCACGTGCCTGCTGCTCGTTCGACTCAAATAGCGTGATGGCATCGCCATCTTGACGGACGGCATCAGCGATGCTTCGACACAGCATAGCATCGTGAGCAGTTTGCCGAACGAGTTCGAGCTCCTCCTTCTAGGCATCTGTTGCCACGATACTGTCTGGTTGCTGTCCCTCGCGCTGCTTACCCTTGGTGGACACGGCAAGGCTCTCAATGTCTTGTAGCTGAAGCTCGATAACTAGACGCAAGGTCGTCTCGTCTATATCCATATCCATCGTGGTGTTGGATTCGTCAAAAGAATCGGGGTTTAAAGGCGAGGTATGGAGTTGAAAGCAGAGACAATATGACAGGAAGTAGATGACACGTACGAGCGGATAAGAAGGCGTGGATCAGAATGCAGACCGTGGAGATGCATTGCCCTAATACCCACACAAATTGAAATTGAAATCTGCGATTATGCCGGATATACACAGGTGAGCAAGGACTCGAACCTCTCTCACGTGCCTATTTCAGCTCCGTGTTTCGGAGTTGCACCAGCTGTCAACTTTGTATTACGTAGCGCTTCACCAATAATATCGAAGGTAACTGCAGCTATACCGAACCGGGAAAAGAAATGCAGATTAATACAAACCAGCTATGGAACGAGGACAAATTAGGCGTTAGCTCAAATTCCAGATTAGCCCGTGGTAAGATCTTGCTCCCGCTGCCGGAGCTTTCCTCGGGGCTATCTTATCGCTTGGGATCAAGGCATTTTGTCTTGTATTTTTTCAAGAGTTGATCCTGGGTTTGGGCTCGATTGGAACAAGACAGTGTGATTTCCAAAGTCGATAGTAACACACACATGTGAACTTGCCTCACAGTAAGATTGACTGTCACCAAGGTTCTTGATTTCACAACCTCACAGGGTACTATAGAGGACTCTTTCAAAAGTCTTATCCAAGCACTAGTAGCGCCACATCTATTTATCCCTATCAGTTACCTAAGACACACGAGGCTGTAACAGTCTTATTGAGTTATCTGCTACGGCCGCTGTAACTTCTGGGGTAGTAGTTGCTGCTGGTCAGGATCTAGCGGTCGCTGTAACCTGCTATCCTTTAGGGCTTATAGAATCAGGAAGTACTTAGTGTACTTAGTATTCTTACCCTCGTACCTAAGGTAAGGTACCTAATGATTAGTTGACTCACCAAGGTTCTTTTTCTTCTGGATAAGACTTTTAAATGTTAGACGGAGATATGGACCATAATAACGCGACCGGCAAGAGGAGTGATCATTCCCTTTTCTGTAGCTTGATTGCGACATTAAAAGGTCCCTCCGTATGTTCATAGGTGATCGAGTGCCATGAGGTAACCAGGTCCTTCCCCTCAAACCAGGATGGCCCACCATCCCAGCCTGCGCTGGAGCTTTGGCAACGATCGAGACGCGCGTCTGTTCCTGCAAACGGTCATAAGCGCCGAGTCTTCGGATCTCGACTGCACTAGATTACCGGTCCTTTGACAGCAGGGCCTCTCAACCACGTTAAACAACTTTCCAGCGGGATGCTGTCGGAAGATCCGGCGTATCTAGTCACTCCAACAATATCGCGAGCTTTACGGACTGCGATGAAGAGACGGGAAGCCGCGGGACACAAAGTCTGCGTCTAGATCACCCCTGTCGCAACACATAGTGCAGCTGGACGAAGAATTTTGCATTACCCCGTCACGGCAATCTGGAATCTCGCCGACGTCCGTGATATCTTTCCTCGCCTATGGGCCAACCCTACACTAGCCACCGTTGAGTCCGGTTTCTCGCATGCATCGTACCTTTTCTTCACACTGATGAGAAGATAGACCTCGAGGGAAAGTCATGGCACTTAGAAACCTCATCCTCATCCTCAATGCATTTAATCCAACACGTCATACGGTTGACGTCGACATTCATTATGGAAGTTGGCCCCAATGCTCCCGTACAAACTCTGAGTCGGTACGTCCGGCCCCACTTTCCACCACGATAATCGCTCTCCCTCCTGATCAGAGCCAACCACTAACCTTGACAATGCTGGAGAGTGTAATTTAACTTGACTGAAATCCCCTAAGCGACTCGACAAGGGGTCTTTCTACGCAGTGCGTAAGCAAAAAAAAAAACGTCTCCGATTTGAACGGAAAAGCCCCTGCCTATAAGAGATAGAACTATACCTCGCTTCTTGCCTTTCTCCGAGAGCTGCAAGCTGGGCCTCCGAACCCACAAGGATTAGCTTGGATGGAGAATTATCCCTCGCGACAGTGAGACGTAAAACGCGTTACGGAGGTAGGAAAAAGGCACAATCTGGCCCTGACTGATCCTCTTAGCGAGATGGCCCTGTCTTGCGTTCACGGTGTTTTAGTCGGTAGTGTTACATCGCTGTCTGTTCTGAGTTCTTGTCACATTCCGTCGGCTCCATTCAGGGTTGCAATCCACTCAACTTCAGTGGATTCAGGGGTGACACATGGCCGGAGCGGTTCGTGCAAGAGTGCAAGGATCACTAGGCGATCATAAATCCGCGGGAAGAGCCGTAGGATGGAGTCGGGTTGCGACCCTGGCTCCATTAGGAATATCTAGCATCAACCTTCGAGGTCCATCACCTCTATTCCATCACTTGTCCCCCACAGACGCGCCCGGACACATCTTTATAGGCTCGCTAGTTGCCCCAGCGCCCTTACAATCTGGGGGAGAAGAAGATAGAGGAGGCTCGCGTCAGATCTAGCTAACTCCCCAGTTTATGCAGGGCCTCGATCTGGCTTCTTGCTTGGGCGTGAGCCCTTTCGCTCCACAGATGCATTCCCATGCTCGTATGACGATATCAATCCCTCCAAAACATCAGCCTATACGAGCAGTAGCTCGAGCAATAGCTCGCCTACGGTGGGGCTACGCGCCTCTCGCTTGAACCGCCCTGCTTAATCGACCACATTCCACACTAAAACCCAGTGGGCTAATCAAAGTGGCCGGCGGACGTTAGACTCTCACCTCTCCTCACCGGAGAGGTGGTATTGAAACCCTTAACCGCGCCACATGCATACTGACTGTCCACCAAGTTAGAATTATACAGAATGACAAAATAAGCCAGACAATACTACCCATTTTTTTAAAGTGGAGATTTCTGGCCCTTTTTTGACGAAGTTCCGGTTTTGACACCACCTCTCCGGCGAGGAGAGAGGAGAGTCTAACGTCCGCAGGCTAGATCAACCCACCGGGTAGACTACATCTCTCTATCTCTTTCCCTTTGTGTCAGTACCACCATTTTGCAATCTACCAGGGTTGGATTTACGGCTTGTATGTCTCAGTGTCCTCAGCATTTTCCTCCACTATTCATTCAATCTCGACGGTATATCTTCAAGCTGCGGTCCGTCTTCTTGAATAAAAAATCATTATCGACAAGAATCACCACTACGACTTGCAGTAGTTTGGATGTGGGCAGCTGTTTGAGGAGATTCCTTTCAGTCTTCTTCGGAACGGATCTTGAACATTGTTGCATCACGTCTCTTTGTTGGACTCGAAGAATCCGCACACAACACTTACACAAACTACCTTATTCCTTCGATCATACACATAAAATCCCTCTTCACAATGGTCCTTCAATTCAAGTCGGACTTCCGGTTCGATATGGACGGCAGCTTCAGTTTGTACAGTCAGCCCATGCCATACCCTTTCACCTCCACAAGCGTCTCCTCCGCCTCCTCTTCTTACGACCCTTTCACTCCTACACCTCGACACAAAACACTTCCAGCCGCTACTGCCGTGTCCTGCAGCCCCCACGAGTTGTCAACCATGGAATTTGACAGCTCCTACAGCAACGGCTCTCATCGTGTTGAATTGGCTCTTCCGTCAACAATGGGCAATTTCATGCCTTTCCCCAACACCCCACCCAACACTCCCGTGAAGGGGGAGCCCACGAGCTTCGACTACACGGAGATGAACTTGGAACAGAACGGCTCTATGGGTTCTTTAACACCATCGAACTCCTTTGACATGTATGGCAGCTTTCCTGAGACTGTCATTGGCGCTACCTCCTTCATGATGACGCCCACCCAGATGCTCTCGGGTTCCGAGGCCGCTGATACCTACTCATCCTGGTCCTGCCCCAGCGACAGCTTGATCTCCTTCCCCCGAGAAGAGCAGTTTCCCGGCAACTACGAGGTGCTTGACATCGACCACCAGTCAATGTCTCCCTGTCACTTCCACGACCCGACTTCGCCAAAGCAGATGCGAGCTCAGCGGAAGATGATGGTGAACAAAATTCAGCGCAACACGACCGAGCTTCGCTATGCTCAGATCCGAACAACTAGGAAGCCATCCGTCAAGCCCGACTCTGCCCCTGTGGATGTGGTCCAGAGGGCTATGTGCAAGTGTGATTATCCCAGTTGCCACAAGGCGTTCCGACGTACAGAGCACCTCAAACGACACAAGCAAACGTAAGTTTTCGGATATGTTCTATGACTCATCATCATCGCCGAAGCCCATTGAACTAACAGATTATGCAGTTCTCACGGAGAAGGCCCCAACCGTTTCTCATGCGAGTTCTGCGGTAAAGATCGGTTCAACCGCCAAGACAACCTCAATATTCACCGCAAGCTTCACGCCCGGCCCAACAGCCGCAACCGCGGCGTCGAGTTCATCCCTGCCGCGGTGCCTGTTATCGAGGAAGAGGAATGCAACCGAAAGAGACGATCACCTCCCAAGGCCAAGCAGCTCAAGAAGCGGGGTCTGGAGTACTACGCAGGTCCGGTGTGAACAATGCTTTTACGGGTACCCTGCTTGAAACCCGTGTCTTACCCTAGGGGAAGTTCCGAAAGAGATTCGAGCAGAGTGTAGACGACAAGAGAAGATAAGCAGGAAATCGTCCGCACCCATTCGTCTGGATACATTCACGCATACGTTTTGCATACACAAACACCTAGCGGGAGCGGGGTGTGGCAACAAGAAATGGGACAAAAGCGAAAGAAAAGCGCAAAGCCAGAGCGTCATCTTGTTGCAAAATTATATTTTGTTCCACACCTCTAATTCCGTTGTCTGAGAGGGTTCAAGATGTTTATGGCTTTCGCTTTTCTTGCACTTCCGGGACGGTGGGTGACCATATTCATTGGCGTTCTCACACGCCGCTTGAACCACGGAGCGCGGCTCGAACCAGTATGAATCTCACTTTTCGCCCTGAGAACCCATTTCACACGTTTCTCATTGTATTTTCGATGTTGAGAGTCTCTGGTGGTCGGGTATCAAACAGGCAACTTTGATTGTGGGCGGGATGGGAGAAAGCGGAGGAAATCGCTTGGACGGGGGTAGGGGAGGAAACAGGGATCAATTGGGGGGACTGACCACTCTGAAACCCCAAAACAGTTCTCTATTTGTACTACAGTATAAAGCTTGTAATCTAGGTAATAATTTTTTATGCTTTTTTGGGGGGGCGGGGGGGGAATCCCTGCCGAGGGCACAAAGGCCCAAGGGCGGTGGTTGGGCGGACGGGAAGAAGCAGGGAGGCTGGGGGAGGAAAATAACAAATCCCGCCCAATTCGGAGCTATTTCTTGTTTTGGTATGATTCCCACTTATTGTTTTGAATCAAGTCCCACTTATTGTTTTAGTAAGACTTCGTAACGCAGTGATCCCAGCACGTGGCTGGACCCGACTCCAGTACGACCGCAGGTTCAGCAACGAGGTGCTGATGATATGCCCGTGCGATCTCCTCGGCAGCGAGACGGGCCACCCTCTTGGCTAGCTCCTCTGCTTTACAATGCTACCCCCGAACGAATTCTCGCTGCGATCAGCGAAGCCACTCGTAGAGGAAGAGCTCGACCGTAATCCTAGATGCAGTGAGGGCCTGGACATTAATCTGAGAGACTAGGCGGGCCTGGGGGGGCTCCATGGTATGTACAGCCCAATGAGAGTCTCGACCGCTAAGTAACCGCTGTCCCAGTCTATCCGGGCGTGTGGTATCCAAGCATCCCAGAGGCTGCGGTGCCGAGTCCGAGTCCCCGCCGCTCCAGCTTAGTCCTCCGACCGGTAGGCCGGCAGTTGCGAACCCTCCAACGCGAGAGCCAAATCCAGTTATCATATGCAGATGCTGCTCGCTAGGAAATGAGAGTGCCAGGAACCGGTCGAACAGTTGGGCAGTGTAAATGCCGAGGATTCGACGGACGGAGGTTTCGGCAGGATTGGACTTGGCAGACGGGTTAGCGGCGTCAACTGAGGCAACGTGAAACAGATAATCGAGCGGAAGAACCAGGCGGGCAGCCTGAGTAACGATCAGGGCATGAGTGTTTCTAGTTGGGACTACTCAAAAGGGACTTGGTGCACAGCCTGGGTTGTGAGCGGAATTGTCTGCGAGATTCGGCGGGTGTGAGGTATTTAAGGAGATTAAAGCAGCTATCTCTTTATATAGTTAGAATTATATTACAATAAAAAATAACTTAACTTATAAAATTTATAGTATTTTATTTTTTATTTTCTTCTTAAGCTATTTTTAGTTTTTATATTATTTATTACTTATTATAATTATTCCACTTAAAATAATATTAATTATAAATTGTATTTTACTTAAACTATAAATATCTAGCTTTTTAATATTCTATATTATAATAATATTCTTTTTAAAATAAAACTACCTTTAAATAATCCTTTAATATTTATATTTAGCCCTTTAATATTATATATAAGTATATAATACATCTTAATTTCTAGTTATTACTTAATAAAGTTCGAGGCTTAGTATTTACTAACTAGAGGTAAGTTACAGTTAGCAAGCAGTTAATTAGCTATATCTTTTATATTATAAAGCTAGAGAGGAAATAATCACCTATTTAGGTTGAGGATATATTTAATAATTATCTTATCCTCCGATTCCGTCAGCTTTCGTAAATTGGGCATACTGTTGCGTCGGGAAGCTCTCCCGCAAGATGTTCCCTGACACCCTCTAGAAACAACACCTAACGTATCATCCAGAATAGATGAAGACTGCACCATATCAGCGGAACATCGGTTAAGAAATTCGCCGAATCAATATTCCAGGCTAGTTACATATCGGGAAATTTGACCAATGGCTATGATTACCATTTAAAAGACGGTACAAGGAAACGACTTTTCAGCCAAGCTTATCTGTTGGGGTTTTCACGCACATCCTTTAATTAACTTGCTTCTCTAGTCAATTTTCCATTATGTTGTTGAACATACCAATACAAGTACTGTCGCATAGCCATTGAGGCAACGCTTTGTTGAAGCATGAAGAAATGACGGTTTAGAAATAAGATTTTCAGAATCTGTGTATCAATCAAAATCCATCAGATTCACAAGAGCCTCATGATGAGCTCTGAGTCTTGATTTAGGTAACACTTCTCCCGTTTGAGGCTGTGATTGAGATAAAAATAACGCATGGACAGACATTAAAATACCTACGCGAGGTCAGCATTTTGCTCACGGGATTTATCATCAGTCCGTCTCCACCCAAGTCATTCCTGTCAGTCGAATCGAGCTAGTCCTAGTCTAAACAGTGAACGAAAGACATTCTTCAGCCGGCAACGTCGGCACGGATCGCTATCGGTGGGGCAGGGCACGCAAGGTATAAGAGCGGAAGTGTTCCGCTGATTAGCTTCTCTCATCGTATTTAAAAGGAAAACAGTAGAGGCATTAGGCTCCCAATGGGCCGACTTTTCAAGTTCCTCTCTGAGGCTGAAAAGGTGGTAAAACAGGTTGGTAGGGACCTAAAACCACAACCACAACAACAATAAGAACAACAACAACAACAGGCACAGCAACCCGCAGGATACTATCCACCGCAAGGCCGAAATACTCCGGAATATCCAACTCCTCAACAGAGCTATCAGGGATACCCTCCGCCTCCAACCCGCCCACGACCAGTGGAACTGGAAGGTTCACATCCAACAGTCTCGCATTCCCAACCATTGCAATATCAACAGCAGCAACAAAACCTTGATCAAGTCCAGCACCCTGCTGCAGAATCACCTTCGAGTACGAGCGTTCCAATGGATAGACAAACTGAGAATCGCCCCAACCCGGGTGCCTCGGGCAGGGCAGCCAACATCGCTATGCCGTTAGGAATACAACCTGTGACAGAATGCATCGACATGCCCTTCACACTACCACTTCACTGGTTCATCTACACTGCCTACAACGACTTCACGATTTGCAGCCGCTGCTACAGCAACTATATTCTCAACTCCTCTTTCCGAGAGTCTTTCATGCCAGTGTGGCATGACGATAGATGGAACGGCAATGTTTCTTTGGGTCCCCCCGCGTCAAAGAACATCTATGGCCCACTGCATTGTCAAATTCTAGTCTTGATAACATGCTAACCTTCATGGCCACGCGACCTAAGCTAGGTCACTGTGCGGAGGATAAGTCAATCGAGGGCAAAGAATGGTACTATCCACCTGATCGACCAGAGATGGCAATCTGCAAACCTTGTTACGAGGACCATATCAAGCATCTCTCGTTTGGCAACCGATTCAGCTTACATACGCCCCAAGGTCCTGCCACTTGCGACCATAATCTCTGGTACGTACGCCGCATGCTCAAGGCTCATGCGATGCACAACAACTGGGCGGCTTTCGTTGCGGCATTCTGGAAGAGGATGCAGCTACCCGCGTGTCCTAGAGCCCAGGCCATCTCTACACCAGACAGGACGTGGTTCTGGTCCTCTCGCGTCTCCCCTGGCTTCTTGATCTGTGAGGCATGCTATTGGGACTACTTCCACGAGTCACCGGAGAGTGTGTCATTCCAAGCCACTCGCATGGATCCTGCACAACAAACGACATGCTCCATGAGTCAGATTAATATTCTCATCCCCATGACTCGCGCAGTTAGTTATGGTCAGTATTCCATGTTCTGGCATACACTGCAAGCTGTTTCACAGCAACAGCCATGCAATACTCAAGGCGCAAGAGGTATCACGTGGTTCACTTTACCAAGTGATCCTCCTGAGTTCGACATTTGCGGAGCATGCATGGCAGGAACAATCGCGAGTATGCGCATGACTCATCTTTTCAAACCTAAACACTTTGTCGGGGCCAGTGAAGCTCGTCTGTGTTCGTTCAATATCTATGGTTACGCGCGAGCGTTTGTTCTGTTGCAAACCTTTGCCCAATCAGCTTACATCAACGACTGGCGACCACTCGCCAACATGGTAACGGACCTCAGTACAGCACCACTTTGTCCCAAGATAGATCAAGACCTCACCAAGAACCGACGCTGGTGGGGATGGGAAGCCGTTCACATCTGTCAAGAATGCTACATTCTCGTGGCCAAGAACACCAATCTGAAGAAACACTTCGTCATGAAAGGTCATCACGTTGCAGAATCCCGAGTTTGTGATCTCTATTCACCGCGCATGCGTCAACTATACAAAGAAGCCTGTCAAAACCAAGACCTGGCCTCTTTTCTCTCTTTCACACGACGGCGTCGCGAAATATATGTGCAGACCGTCCCCGAGATGAACAGAATGCTAGCAGCAGCCAAGCACGCTCTTGGTCAAGCACAAACTCTGGGTCTAGCGGCCGTGACGTTCAGCGCAGCAGGAAACTTGAACTCGACAAACTTTAACTACGTTGGTTATGGATATGGGAACGCGCAGTTGGCGCAGGCGGCGATGGCCGATCGTCAAATCCAGCAGGTTGGGGCAGCAGCGGCGGGACCTGCAGCTATTGCAAGAGTTGGTGTTTTGGAGAAGATGTGGAAGCAGGTTGAATGAGTCCTGGTTTAATTTATGAAGGTTGGCCACAGGTTCTTCACTACTGTTATGCTTGATTAGACACCTTCAAAATCATAGCCGGCCTTTCATCGATCGTAGCAGTGAGTTAGATAAGGCCAAGTGTAGTATCCCAGGATGTATAGAAATCTCTCATTCAGCGAATAAGAGATTGAAACACCAGGGGAAATGTCGGCGATCAGTCAGGCCAGACAAGTTCGAGTTGCCTTGTAGTGTTCGATCTAGGCCCCGAAGGTTCTCAAAAGTGTCAATTCGAGGGTGGTAGAGACAATTAGAATTATAGATACCGGAAGCGATTGACATGGAACCTATGCAATCTAATAGCAAGACACCCCGCCTCAAACCCAAAGTCAATAGCTTACGCAAACATCTGGCTTCATCTTTGACCGTCCATCGTCCTAGCTGTTGAGGCATACAGGAAGGTATACAGGAAGGCAACCAAGAGGCAACCGGAAGGCAACCCAAAAGCAAACACGAAGATGTGACAGCTCTATCCCGCACCAATCGGCTGTACGGGTGTAATAACACAACCTGTTTTATTTTGGAGGCTCTCCAGCACACCGGGTCTCCCCCAATCCAGCACACAGTCAGCTAGTAATATATCAAGCCTGGTAGACCCAGCATCTTTGTCGCTGATTTCAGTACGCGGCTGTCCTCAAACAACCAGCGCTTGTTGATTTTCACATGCTTTGACCAGTAATGGATTTCGCACCTTACCTCCCGGGCTCTACGCATATTGTGCACTTGGAATTTGAGAACATCGATTTCGACGGTGAGGATTTTGGTCTCATCCAAGTTAGAATTTTTATCGAAAGGTACGACGGATCTTAGCCGTTAACCCAGTTAGAGGCTTTTCCTCTTCAACATCACCCAGAAGAGGAGCACATACGGCGGGATGTACTTCGCCGAGGGAAAAAGTTCATTTCATTGTGCGGCACGCACCGTAGGTTCTACGATGGGCCGGCCAGATTCTACAACCACAATGAAAAAAGCAATTAACATGTAAGTGCATTTTCCATACCCTCTATTTAAACCCAGCTAATCGTCCAGGTCCAACATCGTATCATGATCGACCTAAAAGAATTCAACAATAACACCAGTGTTTATGTGCCGGAATTGGACGAAATACTTGCGCCTTCTAAAATTGGGCCCCCAGCAGGTGTGAACTTTTCCGACGACGAGTTCATCATCTGTGGCCACGAGATTCCTGGGCTGTCTCTTGTCTGGAAGAGATGGGCCCACTTTAGGGTCGAATACATTCAGGAAGTTCAGTTCGATGACAATGCGTTTGACCAACTCGTGCTGTCAGAGGACAAGAAGCAGCTCATCAAATCTCTTGTCCAGCAACAAGGCGGCTATGTCGAGGGTTTTGATGATATTGTCAAAGGCAAAGGCAAAGGCTTGGTTTTTCTCCACGGACTAGCTAGAGTTGGTAAGACATTGACTGCAGGTTAGTACCGTGCCCTAATCCAATATGATGCTGTACTAACAGCCTTGCAGAAAGTATTGCTGATCATACAAGGCGACCGCTTTTTGCCATCAGCTCAGGACAGCTCGTCGGTCCTGCGGACCATGTTGAAACCTCCTTGCCTTGGCCAGGAGGTGGGACTCAGTTGTCTTAATCGACGAGGCGGATGTGTTCCTACAAGAAAGGACGATCGAACAGCTGGAAAGAAATAGTCTGGTTTCAAGTCAGCAAATAGCATCAGTTCCCAAACGCTCGTGTGAACATGCTGCTAAACATAGATTGGTTCAGTCTTACTACGGATCCTCGAATATTTTGAGGGCACAATCTTTCTAACTACAAATCGTGCCCAGAAAATCGATAGTGCCTTCCGTTTCCGGATCCATCTCTCTCTTTCATACCCACCGCTCTCCAAATCAGCACTTCACATCCTTTGGAAAAACAACATCGTCAGGGCATGTGCAGGGCAGAACCTGGATTGGCTCAGCGACGAATTTCTTGAGCAGATATCGAGTACGGAGGTTAATGGAAGAGATGTCAAAAATATCGTGTGGATGGCGTACGCTGTGTCAAAAAAACGGGAAACGGAGGATGGTTGCAGAGGATGTGCAACAGGGACTCAAGGCGCTTAAGTCGTTTGACGCAGATATGACTCATGGGGCAATGCGAGTAAATGGAAATGCGACGCCTGGCCGAGATGAAAGCAGAAGTGCTTGGGGTAAATCGGTAGCACCTGGACTCAACCATCTATGGATCACTGGTAACACCTGAGTAAATGCTTCCGTTCTAGCCGAGCAAGCGAGATCCCCGACAAGGGTGGGTATATACAGTCACATACCAGTCTTTTGTATAGTACTCAGGCGTCGAAAGTAAGATTTCCTAGAACATTCCGGTCGAGCCCTAATGTGCCAACATGCTGATTTAGATAATTCTAGCTTCGCATCACTCTCTTGACGGCCGGCGAGTTTTATGTGATGAATTCAAAACGTGATAATGTCCAAAATTACGGAGTGTTTGTCAGCTGTCTGGCGAAGCCCACCGCAGGAATGTGTACTAAAGTAGAAAGTTTGAGTGAGTCCACTATGCCCCGGCTCCCTGCCGCTTGCGATCACAAAAGGTGACAATGGAATCGACCACGCAAGCCTTCCCTCGTATGAAACGATAAAACATGGCTTGAAGGTTTAAATGGAGTGAAAGGAATGGACCAGAACTGATAAAAATAAAAACAGACTGACGGCTAAGTCTCCACTGCTTCCCGAAGGCCGATATTTCCATGCCTTCAGCTCCCTTTGTGGAATCTTTACCTGCAATTGAACTCGAAAAGGGTTTATAAGATTATCATTCATTTGTCAAAACTTCGAATTCTCAATTAGGTTCATGGCCTCCACTATATTTTCACATTTAGTCTTCCGAATACACTCTCTCCATAAATCCACACACTAAAGTTCTCATTCTAAGTTTATGGAAATATCGCACCAGCCTATTACGGATCAATCTATTGTCCTTTGTCATTCCGGTGTCACAGGTCGTCGAGATTCTCCAGAAGTTTAATTACCTATGCAAGGTTGCTGGAGAGACCCAGCTGTTTTCAGCACCCTCCAGCGTATCGTGAGCTAGATGTTGCAATCACCTCCCTGGTGACTGGCTATTGGAATTTGGCTATATAAACTATGAAACACTTCATCTTCTCTGTGTGCGTGAGACAGAGAGAAAGCATACTCTTTGCAACCTCATTCAAGAACCTCAACCCAGAATCACATCTCAACCTCCCTCTTAACATCAATGATGTCGGATATGTCGAGTCAGACCGTATGTGCACATCAATGAAAGCCCAAAGCCCATAAACTAAGACTATCACAGATTCTCCCAGAAAGGCCCATCGCGGCTCAAAGCCGAGGTCAGAGACAAAACCCGCATCACAAACCTGACGAGCACGGCTGATATGGTTGAGTAGGTGACCATACCATGGCAAGCACTAACGCAGGAAGACTTGACGTGCCAGCTCCGCAGGCCGATACTAAACGGGTCTTCACCTTGTCCAATGGTAAGTTCAATCAAATTCGCTCTAAAGATGTCAACATCTAATATCTATTAGGTTGCCCGATCCGAGATCCGCTATTAGGTGAGCAAGTCGAGAAGCCAGGCCAAAACCGATACGCCTCGCAGCTCATGCAGGATCTCAATCTGATCGACACACTTTCCCATGTAACCCGAGAACGCATTCCGGAGAGGTAATGAAATACTTCGCAAGAACTTGAAGTACACGCTCCCACGAGGCTAACCATCCGCCTGCGTATTGTTTACAGATATGTCCATGCCAAAGGAGTGGGCGCTTTTGGTGAATTCGAGCTTACTACCCCTGATCTCAAGAAGTACACCGATGCCAAGTTTCTTCACCAGACTGGCGTCAATAAGAAGACTCGGCTCTTCGCTCGATTCTCTACGGTCGCCGGGGAACGAGGCTACCCAGACACAGTTAGAGACACAAAAGGGGCGGCCTTCAAGCTCTACACCGAGGAGGGGAACCTGGACTGGGCGTTTTTGAATCCGGTTAGTGACACAACGTAAAATTTGCGAAGATTTCAGCACAGTCACTGATTGAACTGCCAAGGACATCTTCTTCATCAGAGACCCCGTCAAGTTCCCTAGTCTTTCCCACTCTACGAAGCGCGATCCGGCAACCAACTTGCCCGATCCAAACATGGTACGTTTCAGCCCTCTCAATCGTTATCAAATTCTTAGCTGACTTGTGTTTAGTTCTGGGAGTAAGAAACCCATCAAGTTCCCCTCAGGAGCGTTCTAATATCGCTCACCATTTAATCCAGCTACTTCAACAATCATCCCGAAGGTTACAACGCCTTGATGAGGATCTTCAGTGACGAAGGGACGCCCAAGTCCTATTCAAGAATGAAGATATCCAGTGTCAACACGTACACATTTACTAAAAAGAACCCGGACACTAACACCTGGACCTCAACCTTTGTGAAGCTGAGGCTTGTCCCCGATCCTGAGCCTGATCAGGATAAAGACTATTTCTCACTTGATGAGGCGGCGACGATGGCCGGTAAAGATCCGGATTATCTGACGCGTCGACTATATGATGAGATCAACTCTAATAACAAGCCTACCTGGAATGTTTATGCCCAGATTATCGACCCAACCAAGCAGGGTGATGGTTATTACAACATCTTCGATGCTACCAAAGTCGTTCCCGACTCCCAATGCACCGAGGTGATCAAAATCGGAAAGATCACATTGAATGAGAACCCTCAAAACTTCTTTTCCCAAGTCGAACAAGCAGCGTTCAATCCTGCAAATGTCGTACCAGGCTGGGACATATCTCCAGATCCAGGTGTGTTTCTAAGTTTCCACCCACTTGTCTCTACTCCCTTTGCATTAAGAACGAGACTAATCTGTCAGTGCTCACAATTCGCCTATTCATGTACGGCGATACTCAGAGATATCGCCTGGGTGTCAACAATGACCAACTTCCCACCAACAAGCCTGCCGACAATGTGAAAGTCTGGACGCCAACTAGACGAGACGGAGCGCACAACATCAACAATTACGGGAATGCACGGAACTATCTCCGAAAGGATGAGAGCCAAGAACCAGAGCACTACAACGCCAGCTACCTGAACTGGGAGGGCCGGGTGGTCAGGTTCAAGAGCGAAGTTGACGACCAGGACTGGCAGCAGTGCGCAGATCATTGGAAACAGCTAAGCAATATGCAGAAGAACCATTTCATTACGAATGTCGCGAGTTCGCTGTCAACAGCCTCTGTCGTGGTGCAAGGTCAAACCACAGGTGAGAAGATACCCGCTCGCCTGGCTGTGTAAATGCTTCAACTAGGTCGACTGACGGTTACTGCAGAGATTTTCAAGAAGATTTGGACGGTCGCTGACTCGGAGCATGCCGATATGTTGGTTGATATGCTCAAGCAGGCTCTTGAGCGTCTACAGAAGCAGAATGCAACACACCAACACAAGCCTGGCGTTATTGCAGGGGGAGAAGAGGGAGGCGTGATCAATTATATCCCTCCTCCAGTTCCTAACCCGGCAACTGGCTCCCAAGAGGTTTACAACAGTCTGTGAACAAGATATTTCGTCAACGATGTATTTACTCAGTTCTAGTCGCTCATACTTCTGCCGCAATGTTACGTTCTTCTTGAGATTGCCAGTGAAGATTTCGTCAAGCTGATAACCTTTTCTCTCATACCGGGTCTTAATTCAGTTCAGTGCTGCCAGTATAATTAATAGTGGCTAGTTTAAGTATTCTGTTCTTTGAAAGCTCTAATGTTAAATTATCTTCCTAAACATATTTACCGCTGTGAGGCATGCTAATAATAATACTCTTCAGGCGGAGATTACTTCCTAAATTGTCTATGCCTGTTATAAATGTATTACACCTTAGTAGGTATAGATAAATAATAGAAATTGGATAAATGTTATTTTTGTCTTTGAAGAGGCAAAAAAGAGATTAGTTTTTATATCTATATTTAATCTGCTACTATTTTAGAAACCAATTGACTACCCCCTTCCCTTCCTAGGACGAGAAAATGTCGTCCCCGAACTAACGACGATCGACGTGGTGGTATGCCGTCCTGGGCTGGCATGTCAACTCTTCCAAAGAAAGACCATGCAATAGTCAACGCAGGGGAGCCTTCTGTCCCGTGATTCCTGTCTTATTATATTCTTTTACATCGCGTGATATTTGAACTATGAATCATCATTCCCAAACTCCGTGATATTACACTCACAGACTGTGTTGACGCCCGTGGCATACTAGCTTCTCCAAGCCCTCACCGTTCATCTTCGCCAATTTTCTAAGATTCTATCGTAGCAAAATCAAGGGCTCTTATCGACACAGGTGATGATCTCCAACCTGAATCGTGTAATAGCTATAGAGAGTTCTTGTAGTACTCGAGTCAGTAATGTAAAGATGACGGTATTGAGAGCAGGTAGAATCAAAGCATGGCGGCAAAGGTAAATACGGTGAAAACATTTACCGTCTAAGTTTTGACGCTAATATACTTTTATTTGTGGTGCTGGGTGTAGCACTTATTGTTTATTCCTACTGTTTGAGATTACTGTATGGCTTTGATCTATCTGATGATATTGAGTAAAGCTTAAAAAAAAAAAACCAAATACTTTTATTTATATTAATAGGAAAATCTCAGACTTTGACGCTCTACTCTTCGGCACCCAGATTGTCTTTTCGAGATCCAAGGACGCCTACCCTAAACCACACCCTCAGTGAAACTGCGCTTAGATTTATTAATTGTGTATGAACCCGGTACAGATAATAATTGGCTCGCTTGTAGTGGTCAAATTTGAGAGCACGTTGCGTCAATGCGCTTGGGGAGCCAGGTTGCGATGTGCGTTTCATGACACGTCCTTCACTGGTTGAGCCATCAAGAGGTCTCGATAGCGTTCGCGACGGGAGAGCCCAAAGACCAAGAGTTAAATCAAAGCTGCAAGTTGAGCTCGTCACATTGATCAATTGATCGATTATACGGCTCAAACAATGGCCTGCAGGTCTTGCACTGGAAGGTTGTCACGCGATGTAGACACGGCAAAAAGAATAAAATTAGTAGACATGACACCCTATCAATTAAAACAATACAGTTCCAATTACCACAGCTATTATCACCCCTCTAACAACTGCTGCTACTGTCCTATCACTCGTAAGCTTTGCGGCTGAAGACGGGACTGTTGTAGCCGATGCTGGACCGGTCTCTGTCGCTGTCGCCTTGGCGTTGTCCGACGTGCCGCTGCTCTCAGGAAGTAGATCCCAAGTACCAATAGTAGTGGCCAGGGCAGTGCTCGAAATCTCGGTGGTGCCAGTAGAATCGGTAGCTGTTGTAGTAGCCGTCGTCGTAGCCGTCGTCTTTGCAGCAGTTCCAGTAGTCTTTGCAGCACTACCTGTCGTCGACGCGTCCTCGTCCTTGTCGGCACCATACTCCTCGATATCTAGCACATAAGACGCATTCCCCTTTGTCCCCGACTCAAACTCCTCAAAGCTGGCCCAGCTGGCCCGTCCGCCCGTGCCGAGCGAGACGCACGCCTCGCGATAAGAGTTGCTGGCACAGATGCTCACGCCATCGCTGGTAACGCCGCCACCGGCGTTGGTGCAAGAGACAAACAGCTGTGTGACGAGGCGCGACACATTGTCGAAGAAATCTTCGCCCGAGGGCGATAGGCAGTAGCGGCAGCCGTCCAAAGACGGGTACCACCCGTCCGGGTTGGGGATACACACGCATTCCCTGGTGTCAGCGTTGGGCCCCTTTAGTTTCTGGCACCGCAGCATGGCCTGGTAGATGGGCCAGCACCCGCAGTCGTCAAGCTTGGTGGGACTGTCGTCGGCCTCCTTGGTCTTGGACCAGCCGTTGGGTTCTGCCGAGGAGAAGCCAGCTAGGGCAACGAGGGCCGCGAGGGAACGTGAGAGCCGCATTTTATAGGCGACGAAGTGGGGGAAGCTTAACGAGTGACGGTGTGTTGTAACGATTGTTGCGTATGAAGGAGTAAAAAGACTTGAAGGCAAAAAGTTCAACGAAAAGAGCTGCCTGGGCGGTTAATTTGAAATTAACCGGGGTCATCCATGTTAATTTCGCCTCATCATGCTGCCTTACATAAGGTCTTGGCATACGACAGATCATGTCGCCTGACGTTTTGTCTTTCTTCACATCCAGCTGTCAAATTGAAGTCACTTGTCGTTCGGCGTTCTCTTCGATATGTGTGGCTTAAGATGATGCAAGTGCCCCCGGTATCAATTATCTGGTCGCGGTGGGATATAATATTGAGTGGAGGAAATATGAGGAGAGCAGAGATTTGAGCTGGCGGGATGGGATCTGGGAGTCGAAGGAAATAGAGTAGGCTTCGACTTGGAGATTGGATCAGAATGAGAGTCGTGGGAAAGTGACCAGTATGCATGGTTAGACACGCTTGTGCCGGGGTTAGAAAGGTTCGTGATGCCACTGGATGCTATTTTGCCTTGTCGCCGCTTCTAGATTTTTCTTAAAGCCTTGTCACATATAATGCAGGCCTTAGTTACACTTTGCTAGTGCAGAGTGTTTATTCCACTTTACCGTAGCCTTCCATTCGATAAGCCTCATTAGTGCAAGTCCTTCGACCCAGGATGATGGTGCCACAGACCTCTGCGGTATGCATTCTGGGCCACGCCTTCTAACCTAACGCCATCGCTTCCCCATAATAGACCGAGATAAGAAGTGGAGCGGTGAGTCGACCGACCAGGGTTGAAGAAATAGGGTTGCATTGCGGTAAACGGTCAGAAGCGTGATCCCCGTAATCGGCGTCTGACGGTTCGAGTTGGGGGCCTCTACACCGCGAAATGTGCGATCAGGTGAGGCCAAAATAGTTGATTGAATTGATGATAATTACAACCTTAATAACGTCGTTATGACTGATCGATTGACTGTGTTGTTGATCATCTTGACCGGGGAGGAATTTCCCTCGTCTCGGTCTCCAAGACCCCCGCTTCTTTCGTCACCCCGGCCGAACCGGATCCCTCCATCTGACGAAGGGTGTTACATACCACTTCTCGTCTACGGAGACTTCCTATTCAGGACGGGCAAGACGGGGTTGGTTGACTCGCAGCTCCACTTCTTACCTCGGCCGATGTTGTGGGGAAGCGATGACCCTGACTCGAAGGGCGCTGTTCACGAGCCACCTTGGATTCTAATGCAACCTACCTAGGTATGATAGGAATCCCGAGGTTCCAAAGAACCTCCACTTTCGCCGAACACCAACCAAGCTAGAATTTATAAAACGTGCCCAGAGTCATTCACTGACGATACGGCTCCACGCTTGGAAATATATCACTCCAAACGTACTGGTGTCGGGCTCTCCAGTTCCATTTGCATCCCCCAGATATCCCCCTTGACTTAACCGCAATGGCTACAAGGGACTCGCTGCCTCTCATTGTTGATGTCTGGGCCAACCCAACTGGGGTAAGACGACCAGAGTCTTTGCGCTAGTTGACAAGAGGGAATAACCGATACAGAATCCCATTCCGGAGACCAGACGGCTTTTCGAGTACAGCCATGCAGATCCAACGCTTTCCCTTCGAAACCACACTCCGAAGGAGTTGATCGCGTTGATGGATGATGCCGGTGTCTCGCAGATATGTCTCGCAGCTTGGAATCGACCCGGTTCCGTCATCTTTTCCAACGAAGAAGTTGCTAAGTACTCTCGAGCCTATCCAGACCGTATCTTCGGTCTTGTGTCTGTCAACTTGCATGACCCAGTCTCTGCAGTTAAAGAGTTGGATCACTACGTTAGGGTGGAGGGCTTCAAGGGACTGAGGGTCGTGCCTTGGTTGTGGAATCTTCCACCGACAGACGCTCATTATTGGCCTCTGTTTGTTAAGTGCGTCGAGCTTGACGTACCATTTCTCACCCAAGTTGGCCATACTGGGCCCCTCTGCCCGAGCGAAGTGGGCAGACCCATCCCGTACATCGACACTATTGCGCTTAAGTTTCCCGACTTGAAGATTGTCTGTGGTCACCTCGGCTATCCATGGGCTGCAGAGATGGTGTCTGTCGCATGGAAGCACCCGAACGTCTACATCGATACCAGTGCATGGTCGCCCAAATATTACGCCCCCGAATTCATCGCGTTCGCCAACACAACAGGCCGGAAGAAGGTTATGTTTGGCACTAACTTTCCGCAACTGAGCTGGAAGGCTTGCGTCGACAACGTTTATAAATACCATGTAGATGGTAGTAAGGGAGGGCTGCGATCAGAGATCCTTGCTGATTTCATGGGGGAAAATGCTAAGAGGGTATTGAAATTACCAGACTGGAATGGTGGAAAGGGACGGCCGAGGCTATAAGGGCACGCTCGAACTTGACTCGGACAACGAGAGCTCATAAAATCAGGACGGTACTTCGTACTTTAGCGTGAAATCTGGGAGCCCGTCTTCTTAGCCGACGAACTCTGAATTCACGCTAGCTGCTGGGTTGCGACCCTGTATTACGAAACCTCTGATAGATCGATATCCTAGCCTTAGTCAGGGGTGTAAGATTACACCGTCAAGCCAAAAACATAGTGCAGCACGGTAATCGGTAACTGCTTACTTACTTATGCATGTAGCTAAGTCCATATACCGGAATCTGACAAGAGGTGGCGTCAGAATGAGATAAAATCCCTCTCGAGAAAAGAGGGGGCCCCGAGGCATCCTGATCAAGACAATCAACCGTTTCAGGATCCACACCCTATTGAGCATTCATCCCTGAATCGACTGGGCCGTACGCTATCCAAGCCTAGCACAAATCCATAGGTCCCGGGTGCCTATTACGGAGGCAATTCGCCCTACTTGAGTCAATCCACGCCACAGAGATGCTCGCTTCAGGACTGGTTGGGCAGTTCGGGCCAGCAATGCTAGCTCTTGTCCTCTTGGCCGCATCTGTCTTCGCTCACACTATCCACGAGAGCCAGTTCAAGCCTAAGGATATCATCACCAAGGATGTGGCCGTTATTGGCGGAGGCGCATCTGGCACGTACGCCGCTGTTCGCCTCAAGGACAAAGGCAAGACAGTCGCTTTGATCGAGCAGAAAAACCATCTCGTAAGCATCACGGGTCTTTCCTGCAACGGACCCAAAATGTACTTACTCACTGTCCCTAGGGCGGTCATGTTGACACTTACACCGATCCTGCCACTGGTATCCCGATTGACTACGGTGTCAGAGCCTACGTCGACTTGCCAGGTGTAAAGGAATTCTTTGGTCGCTTTAACATCACTACAGTGCCCATCGCCAACCCTCCATTCCAGAATGTCTACATCGACTTCACCACGGGCAAGGTCGTGGCAGGCTATCCCAAAGGCGATCAGACGGACGTAGGGATCGCCCTCACCGTTTATGCCCAGCTAGCAGCCAAGTACAACGACTACTACTTCCCAGGATTCTGGAAGCTGACCACAGACCCTGTGCCCGAGGAGCTTTCCATGCCATTCGGCCAACTCGTCAAGAAGTACAATCTGACCGCAGCGCTCCCTGTTATCTGGACATTCGCCTCTGGTGTTGGTGACTTCGAGAACGTGCCGTCCTTTTACGTCTTCTACAACTTTGGCGCAGCAGTTGTGCAAAGCGTGCTCACTGGCACCCTGATTGTCCCTAGCTCCCACAACAACAGTATGCTCTACGCCGCGGCGCAGGAATACCTTGTGTCCGACACCCTGCTCAACAGCATAGTTTCGCACGCTAGCCGTGATGATAAGGGCGTCAAGCTCGTCGTCAAGACACCAACTGGGACGAAGCTCATCAAGGCAAAAAAGCTACTGGTGACTATCCCGCCAACAGAACAAAACATGTACCCGTTCGGCTTGGGAAACAGGGAGAAGTCGATCTTCGCTAAGTGGCGATGGGAGAATTGGTACATTGCCATCTTCAAGGGCTCGGGTCTGCCAGCCAACCTCACCCTCGTGAACTCGCGACCCAATCCCGGCTCGCTCTACGCACCAAAGCCCAACTTCGTCGGGAGTTACACCTTCACCGGCATCGGGGATCTCTACTCGACACAGGTGGTAGGCAAACGGGACCTAAGTGCGAAGGGCGCCAAGGACCTGATCCGCGCCGGCCTTCGCAACATCAACACCGCGGGCACTTACGCCACCAAGCGCATCGACTTCGTCGCCTGGGCCAAGCACGCCCCGCTGCAGCTGGAGGTGTCCGCCAAGGAGCTGGTCTGCGGATTCTACAAGGAGTTGTATTCACTACAGGGGCGGAAGAGCACGTGGTACACAGGTGCGGCGTGGGCGCCGGATTATACGAGTATTTTGTGGGTGTTTACGGAGGCGACGATTCTGCCGGGTCTTTTAGCTGGACTCTGAGGTTAAGTACAACAAGCCGAGCTATGCCACTCTGCTTTTGAATAGTATATAAACCTGTGTTTAGTTACGGCCAGTGTTGGGATCAGGCGGCCATGACCGGCAGTATGAAGCACCCCGTTTTTCTTTTATCATTTGCAAGCGTCGTCGACATGCATCTCGAACGGGCTCCATTCGACACGGCTCGGCTCTACTACATAGTACGCTATTTATGTGAGTTGAATACCATCTGTTCGACACCGTTCGACGACTAGCGACACTATGCATATATACACTCATTCAGCACTTATCTAGATAAAAAGCTGTTGGATAGCGTACGGCACATTCGATCCAGGGATTAATGCTCAATAGGGTGTGGATCCTGAATCTGTTCATTGTCTTGATCTAGGATGCCTCCGGCCCCCTCTTTTCTCGAGAGGGGTTTTATGTCATCTCACCCCCCCTTCTGACTAAGGTCAGGATATCGATCTATCAGAGGTTTCGTAATACAGGGTCACAATCCAACAAAAGCCTTAAGCTTCTTGCCATCAATACACTTAGTTTCTTTTTCCAAGTCTCACCAGCTGGTTTTCCAACTCTAACCCTCAACTGACTATAGATGTTTATTAGGTAGACTCTTATTAAGTTAGAATGGAATAATAGAGAGGCCTTCAACACGTTATATAAACTCAAAGTATTTAGTATCAACTACAGGCTTGAGATTTAAATAACATATAATAACACCCCAACACTAGTTTGCATAAGGCCGCCAATATCTGTCGCACATACTTTAACAGATTGTAACATCATTCCGCCAATGCAAGTGACGTTGCACACTCAACGGCAAACCCAAAGCTTCGAGCATACCAACCAGCGGCCCAGTAACTTAGCTCCAGATTATGCGGTGCCGCCCTGATGATGCTCGTATCGATCCTGGTACTCCTGGGGAAACTCGCAGCAAAGTCCTGTAGATGCTCATTTGTCGCGTCCCAATAATGGTCTCTCTCTGCCAGAGCAATCATAATGGGCACCTCAATATTGGCCCCCCATTTCTGCTTCCATGTCGAGAGCCATGACGTCTTCAACGAGGCAATCTCGTCGAACGGCATAGCGTGGTCTAGACGCTGGGACTGGGTGTACACTTGCCCATCAGCTGTTCCTGGCAGCAGCAGGGTGCTATCTTTGACGTGAACGGGGATGTTGATATGTAACGGGGGAGGGTTAGGCTGTGCGGTGTGGCCACCGGTCTCCTTTAGCAGAGAACCAAAACCAGACACAACGACGCCCCCGAGGGGATAGATCGAAGTCTTAGACGCAGCAGCATGCAGAGACGCTGCCACAATAGCACCGTTGGCACCGAGGCTATGGCAATGCAAGACGATACAGCTGCACTCGTTTGGTAGCCCAAACTCTGCCCACAGCGCTGGGAGGATGAATTCATGCAGCCGGATTCCCCATTCCTCGGGAAAGCTGGAACCCTCGGGGATCGGTGTAACTGGAGTTGAATCGTTATATCCCGGACGATCGATAGCGACGAATGGTATCGAGAGGGAGTTGCTTGTCAGGCTGGCCGTGTAACTTGGTGTGGCGTCAAAGTACTGGCTGGTGTAGGAACCGCCGTGAAGGCCAACGACCAGCGGGCAGTACTTTGGTCTGGATAGCTGTTGGATGGGGATGTTGAGGATCCCTGATAAGACGGTGTTGTCACCAAGAGTGAGTTTGAAAGCCTCCATCATGGTTCCAATAGAGTAGATGTATACTTGTCTTACAACTCGTCCCTCAGTCAGTGAGATTCAGTTGGAGTTGGAGTGAAACTTGGGCCATGAGGGGTTAGCTGATGTTGATGGATGCCCAGGAGCGGGGTAGACAATGGGCCCATTTTTGCGGCCCTATCGGATACGACCCAGACCCATCTTCGCAAGTCCCTCTTCTCCTCCCAATATCACCTCGCTGTTAGAATAGGGTTGCAGGGTAGTAGAGAAGATTCCGGCAGATGGGGAAAAAAAAGCAACTTGAAACTCAAACTTAGGCCTTTGCAACTGTAACAGGGACAGCGAAAATGCAGTTAAATCAAATAATAGGTCACCTATTTAGGGAATGGCGTTAAATAATAAACTATATATAACTAGCTGTGTATAATAACGCCG